CACTATACCATTTACATTGCCGCCATGTTATACGCTGATTGTGAATGTGGATTAGAAACATCTTGTGCCGGTGTTTTCAGGTGTGTGGAAATTAAATGAAGTTATTAAATTAAATTATTTAATATGTAATAGATCCTTCAAACTTAAAAAGTGGAACCTTAATATTCTTCAAGTAAATGTAGGTACATTATTTCTATTGAAGAAAATAAATTTAAAGTGCACGTTATTTTAGACATCTCCTCAGACAGAGGAAGCTATAAGTCTCAAAAAAAAGACAGTAAGAAAATATGGGACTATTGAAGAAGCCCTCACAGTCACTAAGGTTACACCTACATTGCTCTTGCTCTCGCAAATTAATACCTATGGATATTGTAGGTTTTAGACCATCATGCACCACAAGAATATTTGTTTTAATAAGCAATAAAAAAGTTGCCCATGTGTTGTCGAAATTGTAAAATGACTTCCTCACAATTAACTGGAGACCGATCCAACCGACCTGATGATAGCAAATTTGATTTTGCCAAAACGTCGACTTTCGCTACATTTCGTTCAATTAAATATTATTGTTCGCAAATCGCGCCTTCCTTAGGACGTAAATTAATTTTACATTGCTTGAAACTTCGACGAAAAGTTCTCGAAAATAAATAATAATTGTACCTAGTATACCTTTTCTTGCAACAAATAAAGTAGAATGGCAATAATACAAACTAGTTCTTTAATAATGTAAGACCTATCCTGGCAAATAGAATTTTCTTGCATAAAATATCTTTTAGTTGAGATACGAATAAAAAAAAATAATTCCTCGAAATATTTAATTGCACGATACGAATTAAATTATTTAATTAAAACAAATGTGCTTTATTTTAAGGAACTAATTCTTTTTCTCTGTGTATGATGAAAATAGTGGTCTAAAAATCTAATCAAGAAAATATTCCTACATCAATTTTAGACTTGTACAGTTTCTTTGTATGATGTTGTTTCTTTGGTTATTTTACTATAATACAATATTACAATATTTTGTAAGCAACTAAATACTTTTTCTCGGAGCCCCTCGAATACCTTAATAAACATGACATAATGTGGGGATGGTTGATAGTTTCGCTTTTAACCCCAGATACACCAAAAAAACGCAAGTGTCTACGTCACAATTTACACTCATAATTCTAATGTGCTGGGTTCATATAACATATATAAAAATGCTGCTCAGCTACCGATTTTTCTATTTATTTTCACTTAGCCATACGCTCAATCAATTGTTGGAGAAAACCATTTAAAACTAACCCAAAATAAGTAGACAGATCGAAATTGGTATTTTTTAATTAGATTAATTCATTAAATTCGAAAAATAAAAACAAATTTATCCATGCATAAAAAATGCGAATTAAAACAGTTTTCTTGGGCTACACTCCTGCACTTATAAAATTGCTAAGAAAAACTATTTTTTCTTTCTGTAAATTTTCAGGTAGATATTTCTCATCTCTATTTAATACAATCTAATCTCTAGTTATCTGGATAATTTAAGAACGCAGTTTCTGTTTATGTGGCATTTAAATTAATACAATAGAGCAAGCTAGTGCTTGGGTATTTAGTGAAAGTGTATTTTATTATTATTATTATTATTATTATTAATATTAGCATATGCACCAAAAAACGACTAAAACTTTTAAACGCCGACAACACATTCGAATTTATCCTTTCCACTATCCGTGACGTACGCAACTAAAAGTTACATCTTGATATAAAATCGAGACAAAGTCGAAACAGTCATTTTCTCTCGTTGTCGAACCAATGGTGTATAATTACATTTTCTACGCATCGAGTTAGACGATTATAAAAATATTTTTAAAAATATTTAATACCATTCTAATAAATTTGTTAAAATAAAAATATTTTATAAGTTTCAAAATAAATCCCGCTTCGCTGAAATATATACTCGCCTAGATTGAGAATCAATTTGACGTTATTATCTTAAAGGCAAGATTGTAAACTCCTAAAAGTTAAGTTAAAATGTATTTATGTTATGTTTTAATTGCACTCGGACTCAGGTCGGCAGCTACGTTAGTGGGATAAATCAAATTTAGTCACGGATTTCGTAAGCGTTGACTAAGACAAAGGTGTTCGCAATGCTAACTTTCATCAAAGGAAATTATTTCTGGGGGCAGCAAACCAAAAATATCCGCATCTATGCGCGCTCGCATTAAATTAGCAACATATTTTTCGGATGAAGCAGACGTCATCCCACATATTGTTTTCGTACTCTTTTTTACGACATTATACCAGGCGCGTTAAATTGCTACGGGTACTTGCCCTGGCAGAACGAACTTGCAAAACGAAAGTTGCTGCCGTGCGTACTTTCATGTCATGTCACTTTATATATCAACATTTTTCAAAGAAACTTCCACAGGCTACTGTAATACTTTTTACAAAACGTGTGGAATCTGAATCTGGAATCAAACCTTCTCACCTTAATCGAAAAATGCTTATCTGGAACATATTTTTCTTATAGCGGTCAAATTTTTTAACAAACGTCGGGAAGAGCTATGGGTTCTCTACTATCACCAGTCATTGCGAATAAATTTATGGAGGTCTTTGAGAAGAAAGCTCTTGACACCTTTTATTTAAAACCAAAATTATGGAAACGTTACGTCGATGATATTTTTGTTATTTGGCCTCATGGTCAAGAAGATTTTCTTAGATATTCAAACTCTATACACCCTAACATACGTTTTACCATTGAATTGGAAACTAATAATAATCTTCCATTCTTAGATATTCTTATCAATAGAAAATCAGACATAACATTGGGTCATTGTGTTTACACAAAACCTACGCACACAGACCGATACCTAATGCATGGTCACATTACCATCCGGCCCAAAAATCATCGGTTATCAACTCTCTTGTTTACAGAGCCGTAAAACTATCTCAGCCCGAGTCACTGATCCCAGAATTGAAACACCTTACCTCTCCTCTTCTCTCTAATAATTTCCACATTTAAAATATTAAGCGTTCGATCAAAAAATACACTTCACCGCAACTTTCCAATAGCAATGAGGCCGAAAGCAATCCTACACTTGCCACTGTGGTCCTTCCTTACATTCAAAATATCACTGACTACATATCAAAAGTTCTATAGAAGTATAACATCAAAACCAGATTTAGAACTTCGGTCCGTTAAAGATAAAATTCCATTTGAGATGCCAGGAGTTTACAGTATTCCATGCATATGTGGCAAAGAATACATTGGAGAAACCGGACGAAAAATGTCAACTAGGCTCAAAGAACACGAAAGAACCTTACGACTAAGACAAATAAACTCATCAGCTGTTTCCGAATACAATCACGAAACCGAACATAAAATTTTATTTTATGAAACTAAAATTCTTGCATGTAGAGTCTATAGAAATCTATAAACAACCCGACCTTAACCGCGACTCAGGTCTCTACCCGTCACCAATATGGGAATCAGTCATCCGAGACGGTATTTTTGCCCCTCATTTAGCTCCGCTCCCCTGAAAGAATATATAAGCAGGTACAGAGTAAAATGAGAGCCAGTTTCAGTCAAGCTCTGAAGAAGACAACAGGATGATTGGCAAAACGTTAGCAAGTTCGACTCAGCAAAAACCGACCCAGTATTTTTATAAAATGGTCAACATTTATTGTTAAATACACCATTTTATAACAAGTTCCATATTCCGCACATCAAGTGCAATCTGCCAGCCAGGAGCGCCAACCGCAGACGTCAAATGTTACTACACAAAACACATAAAATAAACGAACAAAAAATAATTCAACCATATCTGGATTTCAATGGACTGTTGCTTCCATGAGATGATCTTTATCTTGATCTGTAAATTTAAACAAATTGTTTGACACATCACGATTGCTCTTAAGTTCAAATGTGGTGAGCCTATATTAATACGTAAAACTCTCTTTTACGTAATTATATTATTCAACACTTCTAGTTAGTTCTTTCGCACCTTTGTTACCATATGTCATAAACATTTTGTCTATGATTTAACTTCTACAGTTTCACAAATCTTCGCTTTCAATAATTGACCACTAATGGCGACTTATAAAAAAACCGAGATGACGGATTACTCCATTGCAATAAATACAAATCCAAATCCGAGTGGCTTTTCAATAATTACCAATTGCTTTTTCAGCTTTGTGGATAATTCGTTCTTCTAAAACCTACATTAAAATTCCATCATTTCGCAAATTGTTTGAAATCATAACTAGTCAAGGGAATTTTGTCACAAGTTATTGTATCGGAAATACCATGAGTAGCAAACACCAGATAGATCGATAGGTCGAAGTTCGAACAATTATAATATCGGTCGTAAATGACTTGTGCCAGCATAGGTAAATAATTCAAACCCAATCTTTCCTTCAGTCTCTTAGGCAAATCATAAATTAATAGAGGTTATTTTTATTTGATGTGCTTCTTACACTTTACAAATAGGGCACAGAACATATTCTACAGCTGATGTGCTTGCGGTTTACTGTCTCTCATCTTTGATTGAAAATTGCTGCTTTGAGTGTGCGCAGTTTATTCGAGTTATATATAAAAATATTTGGGCATCTTTTCTACATTATTTTTCCAACATACTCCGAATTGCTTTTGCAAGTCCACCAGTCAGAGATATTCGCCGATTGTGGCGATACTGCGCAGTTTATGGAAAAAAAGCTCAAGAACATCTTACAATGAAATCCGGTAAAATGCTCCTTTAATGTTAAAAACTCAAACCGCACAAACAGTATAACGCAAACGTGAAACTCACATGACAACAACGCCACCCTTCCAAGCAAATTAACATTTTATTCTTAAAGGCAATTATTAAAGGCAAGCTATAATATACTTTAACCTTTCAATCATTGGACAGCCCAAAATTCGGATGTATAAACAAATCGGATTAAAATGTGAGTCGTTGAAGAAATTTAAAGCAGAAATAAAAAAAATCTAAGCATTAAATGAAAAGAATATTGAAGGACTGTAATTTTGTATTAACTTTAAATATATTTCATACATATGTCAACTTTTCTCAGTTTTGCCAATTACGTAATGCAAGGGTTTGTTCCCGTATGTTTTCCTAATCAATCAGTACTTAGGTATAAAGTTTGTTATTATATTATTTATTATTAATTAATTTTCAACGCACAACAGAAAATAGCTTTCTTACACATTTATTACAAGTTTTACAAAAAAAAGTATTACCAAAATTATAATGTTTAAGACAAAGTTCTTTGGAACTTATTTGTCCTCTCTAGAGTTTTTTTTATATGTTAATGTCGTATAGAAAAGAAGTAAATTATGAAGAAAGTCATTTTGAATAATACAATTTTTTTATGTAAAGTTTGGTTTTTCTAAAATTTTATCCCATTTAACAGACCCCGTATCTTTAATGATTTAAAAGTTACCCACACAATCCTACTAAAAAGTACCCATTATATTATGATAGTACGCCTCTTGGTATATAATAAGCTACCATGGCACCACTGAATGAACGAAATTAGACAAGGTCAAGTTTCTATTTTAATCGAAAATTCCAACAAATATTTGATCTAAGTTTATTAAAAATTATTTTGGTTATGCTTCATTTAAGGAACAACTTAGTGCGCCAAGAGGACCGGACCTGCAAACTAACGTAAAGGGTAAGTTGGTAAAACTATTGCTGCATTCGTATTCGTCGAGACCCACCAGCATTCTTGAAATGAACGGTTTAAAAATATATCTCGATCTGTGTGTGTGTGTGAGCGCGTGTGTCAGTTATACAGTATTATAAGCTGGCAAATTGGCAACTGCTTTGTGTTCTAATAACCTAAAAGTTATGTAGACATACAGGCTCGGATTAGGCTGAAAATTTAGGATACCCCTAATATTTAATTTTGAAAAATTAGACTTTGGAGAAATGCAATGACGTGTGCGTTAATTAACGTGTAGCTCAAATTTAGTTTTCATTACATCAAAACTATTTATGCATCCACGATATGCGTCTTCTCATAACATTTTAAATCCAAGCTATCAAAATCCCTCAAGTTATCATATAACTTTACATTGGTACGTTTCTCATTGCCAGTGCTGCTGTTATTTAAATAATTTTGGTTCTCTTTGTTCTGACAGTCTTCATTATGGCTTCCAATGGATTGGCTGTCTTGCTGTTTGTTCAGATGTAATTTCAATAAAAAGCACAGCAGTTTCCCCAAAACTCCTATAATTCCTACCACAGACAGACCTAAAAAAGGGACATGAGTTCTACTGATACTGTGTTATTCCTAATGGGAACAGGAGCAGTTGCCCAAATTTATGTACTTACCCAGTAGAAATCCTAGCGAACCGCCAATGTCAGACAGAAGATCGTTCCAGTCGTAACCAAGTTCTTCGCTCATAAAACTTACAAGATTCGTCGGGTAGTGAATTGTAACTATACTGTCTGGATAGTTTCGATCTTCCACGTCCCTTCTGTTTACAATACTAGCGCTAAACAAAGATACGTTGCATGAAATTTGACAGTCGCAGTTGGACAGCAGTCGGCTTCTGTTGCTGAAAAGAAAACCTGTTTTAGTACAGGCATAGTTCAGAAAGTACAAAATAAAAAATTGAAATGCAAATACTTCATGTCAAGAGCAATTGTATATAAAAATTGTATATAAAAATTTGTTATTAAGATTTATTTTCAGAAAGCTAAAAGTTCACCTCAACATACTTAAGTTGACATATTTCGACCTCAGCTTAAAATATCTCATACGTGCCTTAACCGTGGGACTTGGTAGAATAAGAAATACCAATCTTTCTAGATACCATATTGTTACCAAATTATGGAAACTCAACCTAAATATTAGCGTTCTTTAAAACTATTTTTCTCTTAGTAATTTGGTTATGCGGTGTCAGTAACGTATTAAGTTGATAAGCACACACTATTATATATTAAATATTAAATACAAGCAAATCAAACGCACTACAATTTGGAACGAAAAACCGGCCTATGAATTACAGTATCTTAATAAAAATAAATCGTTACAGAATAATGAGAGTACAAAATTTTTAGGGCTATATGTTGATCAAAAACTTCTATGGACTGATCAAATTGAGAATATTCTATCGAAAATGAGCGCTTATTGTTTTGTGCTTCTGGTTTCATCGTTTCAAAAAAGAGTAATCAAAGCCATTTGGTTTCTTACAAATGTTGACGCTGACGTCTCTTTACGTTTACTGGCTTATTATACCCACTGAGACACCATATAGGTTATCAATTTGTCAACAAAACCCGGATTACATTGGTATTACATCTTTAAACAAATTTAATAATAAAAGTAAATTAAAACTCAAGCAGTTCTTTGTTAAAAAATCATATTATACACTGCTCGAATTTTTCAGCGATCTCCAGGTTTATAAAAGCTGTGTGCGATGTTTTTTTTTTAACTTTAAGTGTATATTTGTCCGTTACATCAGTTTGTATTGTACATTACAATTTAATGTATCTTTATTTAATATTCTTGACGATCCCAAAATATATTGTAACGGGTGATTCAATAAGAATTTCCACATTTCAATCTGAAATATTTTTGAAACGCCACTGTATTTGTTTATTATCATATGAGATCTCTAATCTCAAAATATAAACAAAATTAGTCATGGAGCAATATACGAACAACGTGTAAAAATTGAGCAAGCCTATTAGGAAAATGGTCGATCAAGAAAAAATGCATTTCGGGCTCTACGTGAATTTTTCGGCGCACAATATCGACCTTCTGAGAGGACAATTTGGAATGTGGTTCAAAAATTTGAGCAAACTGGATCTGTAACTAACCTCAAAGTCCGTCAACGTGCTCGTGCAGATGGGTCAGATCAAAATATTGCCATTGGTCGCGAAAGTGTAGCCGAAGATCCATACACATCGATTCGTCATCGATCGCAGCAAGTGGGCCTTACGTATTCAACTACACAGCGAGTTTTAACAAAAGACTTTCATCTACACCCATATAAAGTCCAAATAACTCAGGAGTTGAAACCTCGAGATCATCAACGGTGCCGTGTGTTTGCAGAATAGATACGAGAACAAGGAGTTCATTTTTCAACGAAAATCACCTTTAGCGATAAGGCACATTTTCACGTTGGTGGCTTTGTAAACAAACAGTATTTTGGGATTAGAAAGTCCAAGAGAGATTGTTCAAAATGCAATGCATCCTCAAAAAATAACTGTTTGGAGCGCTTTTTGGTGCGGAAGAATAATTGGTCCTTTTTTTTTTCGAGGATAATGCGGAGAACGTTGTTACGGTTAATGGTGTTCGCTATCGAAACATGATATCTGATTTTTTCTGGGAGCAATTGGAAGGTATGAACATTGAAGATTTGTGGTTCCAACAGGATGGAGCCACTTGTCGCACATCCAGAGAAACGATGCAATTGCTGCGGGGCAAGTTTCCTGGTCGGATTATCTCACGTAACGGCGATATCAATTGGCCGCCGCGATCATATGATCTTACTCCCTTAGATTCTTTTTCTTGGGGTATTTAAAAATCAGAGTGTATAGAAATAAACTAAACACTATTCCAGAGCTGAAACAGGAGATTAGACGCGAAATAGCCGACATAGAACCTAAATTGAATGACATCATCTTTCATAGTTTATTGTAATACATTAATCTAAAATGGCAAATAAAAATGTTTGTATATTTTTATATTCTTCCGAGTTTTTTTTTATTATTTTAATGTGGAAACCGTTATTGAATCACCCTTTATTTTTTAACGGTATGCATTACATTAAGCGGAATTAATAAAGAACTAAACTAAATTATGAACAAAACTTCTGGGTTCCTCCTGCGTCTGTTGAATTGAATTCGCTGACGTTTCGCCAATCATCCTGTTGACTTAACTGAAACTGTCTCACATTCTACTCTATATTTGCTTATTTATTGTTTGAGGAGAGAGAAGCTAAAGGATGGGCATGAACATTGTCTCGCATGACTGATTCCTATATTGAATACAGGTAAAGACCTAAGTCGCAATTAAGATTGTCTGTTTGCTTATAGATTTATATAAATATTCTTCTCATCTTTCAAATAATTTTAACCGGGACTCAAGTCTTTACCTGTCTCCAATATGGGAATCAGTCATCCGAGACAATTTTAATGCGCCTCATTGAGCTCATACCTCCTCAAATACTGTATCAGCAAACATAGAGTAGAATGCAAGCCAGTTTCAGTTAAATTCTGAAGAAGCCATCAGGATGAATGACGAAACGTCAGCAAGTTCAATTCAACAACAACTGACGCAGGAGGAATCCAGAAGTTTTGTAAAGAATATTACAGGAGCCTGTGGAAGTTTCTTTGAAAAATCAATTATCAAGTTGAACATAACTCAATTAAACAATAAAGAATTATCATGCACATGCAGTATTAAAGGGAACAAAATAAATAAAGAGAATTTTTAAAAACGTCATAATGCAATATTTTTTCTAGATAATCCTATAACAATGTAAATGTAATTTTTTCATTACGTGCTCTATTTTTAGAAGGCTACCGTATAAGTAAGGGTTTCGTTTATTTATTCTGTTTGTTTCTACACTATTTGGGATAAGATGTTCATTTTGCTATTGTCTTATTATTAAAAATTATGAATTATTTCATTTATTCCTTCTGTCCCAATTGTTTGACACGCAAATACCTAGAACGCTCTCTCGTAAATACTCACTGATTTGTAAATCCAGATACTAGATAAGAAACATCCGTCGAACTCGAACACTGAGGTAGTGACTGATCGGGAGGCACAGCGAATATCCACGGTAGTGTACAATTTGCCAGTTCTAATATTTGCTTCTGGTGACATCTTTCGATGCACTGGAAATATGACCAATAAATACAAAGCGATTTGCGTTGATTTGCGAGAACTATCAATAGTTCTGTGTTACTGAAAAAGGACATTTCTATAACTTTCGGCGCCCACAACAGCCAATAATATCACTAAATATAATATGATTCGGTTCCAAAAGACTTTTTTTACCTTCCACCTAAAGTTACAGATGTAAAAAGATAAAAAAAACTAAGCCCCCAATTGTTAATTAAGCTTAGCTTATCACCTTTACGATCTCGAACTGTTCAATAAATAAATAAAATATATATTTCCTTACTTTCGATCTGCTGTACTTGTCTTGTCCGCTTACGCATGGATTAGAACTGGTGGATATTTTGTAATACTCTTTGAGCTTCAGTTGAACATTAAGCAGTTCGGCTGACTGCACGTCGAGATACTGCATCAAGTTGCTACCGTGCGTACTTTCAGCTGCTTAATATGTCACGTTATATATCAACGATTTTCTTTTATAACCTATACTTACTGTCTAATACTTCGTTTTCGTTATGGAGATACAAATGAAATCCTGTAAGCGATTGGCCGTATTCGTCTGTGCGTCGGACGGTGTGGTTGTGATTCAAATAAAAAAACCATCCACCACCCATATTGAAAGTTTCAGAATTCCTTTTTGGAATGAAGGTAAAACATCGTCCGAATTCCAACGTCTGAAATGAACTTATGTCCACATCTGCAACGAATAACATCCGCAGTAATATAATGACGGAGGAGAATAGTTCGAAATGGAAGGCACCTGCGAATTGGTTTCCAGTGCCTCCAAATGCGTACGATCCGAAAACCTCTGCGAATGTGTAAGTTGTTTCATTTAAAAACTCTTGAATCGTGTAATCGTCAAAGTTGAAATTGCGAAAAGCGTTAGCTGCGAGTAGCTTGGTTGTCTTAAGTCCATATTTCTATAATACGAAATGCGCATAGCTGTACTTTTTTTTGACTGATTTTGATAAACCTAATTTTTGTCAGTTAGGTATTCAAATTACACATTCAACAAGATTTTTTTTTGGTTGTAATCATGGCCGCCCACTGTTATCGAGATCAAGTTTAGGATTTTTCGTTTCCAAAAATGCTGATGACGTCTTCCATGTCACTTCATTTCTTTCTTTGCAGAAGAATGAAAGTCCCCAGATTGAAGAAGTGGTTTGTGGTGGTAGCGTAACTTCAGAGAAAAATAATGGGTAATAACTGTTGACGTATTGAAGTGTTATACCTGGTGATTGGGTGGAAAATCGAAATAACTAATATTTAAATCTTTACGCACTTTTTTATTACGCACAGTTTCATCATTTAAAAAAAATGGAATTTTTGGTTAAAAATAATTTGTGTGGTGTCAAATTTTGGAAGTGGGACTTTTACCATTGATGCTTTTTTTTACTTATTAAAAAGAAAATTTATCATTGGGAGTAAAAAGAAATATATGTTATACAATAAATGAATTATTTATTATTTTTTCTACTCTCTTCTGTAAAATATCTAATTATGCACCGATCTTGCGTGGGGAAAATGTCGTTTTACCACGTCAGTTTCGTTTCCCACGGATCCGAGTAACTTCGGACGTATATAGTATGCAACACGTGTAGTAAACTTTTAAAGTCACTCGTTTATTAAGCACTTGCTCCGCTGCGCTCCGCTCGTGACTCAAATTCCGTATACCACACTTGTTGCATAATATTTAGCTAATTAATTAATGTGATAAATTTTCTTTTTAGTAGTAAATGGACGATGAAATTGGAGTGCAGCCTTACTTCTGCATACATAGCTATTTTTAATAAATCTTTTCATAAGTAAAAAAAATATTGCAATTTTTTTCACGAAACCCTGTATTTTAAAACATTAAATCTTTTGTTTTTCGTCATCAGTTTCAGAAATTTTGAATGCCTACCTAACAAAAACTAACCTAAGCTTCCAATAAGGAAAGGAAGGTAAAATTCAAATAGGTAATAATAAATGTTAATCTGACTTTTATTTGGGGTTTATCTAATCACATTATATATTATTCTTATCGCTTTTTCTTTTGCTTTTGGTTGTGTTCACTCTGTTTCTCTTTTCATCTTAGCAATTTTTTTAGTTATTTGAATAATACCTAATTCAACTATTATTTATTTCATTATTATTTTCATTAAGTTATACCCACTGAAAACAAGTCTGTTTTAAAACCAGGCCTGCGGCAGATCGTCACTGATGGGTATCGCATGGTTTCGTTTAAGTAAAATCGATAATAAGTGGAAATCGGGGGGTTAATCAGCTTCCAGATGCACTGCGCAGTCTGTAATAAAAATACGAAACATTATTAAAGCGAAAGGACGCGCAATAATATGGCGACCTAAAAACAAGTGTGTGATGTTTTTGGAAATAAATTTAAGTCCTTAAGTAGTATGTGATACAAAAGTTCCTAATTAAATATTAAATTACTATTAATATCTAAATAAACGTCTATGTATTCACAAAAACTATGCAAGTAATCAAAATCAAGAAAAGCCTCAATAAAAAAATCATTCATTAAATAAAAGTATCACATTTAAGTTACATTATATTTTTCTAATTTTCAGAATTCTAAAACTTTTATTTTTGCTATTGTGCAATAATTAATGGATGAAATAGTGTCTTTGTAACACCGAAGTGTGATAAACGTTATCAAAATTGTTTTTCCTCCTATAAATATCTATAAATTTTAATCTTTCGTGTGAATAGGTAAATTAATAAATACAACTAGCGTTTAAATTAGATTAAAATATTCAATAATTAAGAAAATGACGTGTACCCAAGAATGTTCCTGTTGATGTTTAGGATTCAAATTAATTTAAAAAAGGCCTTTTGTCGGTTTTAACAACTTTTCTTTTTAATAAATAATAATAACAAATGTAGTTCTTAAAGTTAATATTGACATTGATATTTTTTGCAAATTGCATATCATAGTAATATATATATATATATATATATATATATATATATATATATATATATATATATATATATATATATATATATATATATATATATATATATATATATATAATCTCAAACGCAGACTCAAATGCAATAAAAAATAATTATGTAAGTGTAAGTGTAAATGCTTGTATTGAAAAATATACATCATTAGCTTACTTGATAGAAAGAAACAAACACGCAAACTGTCAAAATAATCAATTTTAGAAGTTGAATTGGATCGGAAAAACACTTTTTTAACTCCGCGGCCGACATTTCCGTCCATCAGTGACGGATAGCTAATAACGGTTTTCGGAAAAATTAGATCTCCCCGCAATATGCCATAAATTTGCAAATATTAAAGAGATAACGTCGCGAAATGTAATTTTAATGGATTATTCTGCGTACGTTTAGCTGTATTATTGCCAAGGGCAATAACAACAAAAGATTTCATTAAAAAAGGCTAAAGATTTAGGAGCATGATATTTATTCCACTATACAATGTGATTCCAAATTCGTCAGAAAGATTTTATATCTGAATTTTTTATTTATTTATTTTATGTATATAATTTTTAAGGTATATTTTTTTCCAACCAACCCTAGACAACTATTTACAAATCTTTTGCATTCCTTCTGCGTCGGTTGTTTATAAATCAAACTTGCTCAGAGCTTCAGAGCTAAATTTTTGATATGTAGTCAGTGATGTTTTGAATGTAAGGAAGGAATGCATGAAGGACAAAAAGTGTCAAATGTAGGGTTGCTTTTGGACTAATTGCCTTTGGAAGTTTGTGGTGAAGTGTATTTTGTGATGGAACGGTTAGTATCTCCTAATGTAGATATTATTAGAGAGAAGAGCAGATATAAGATGTTTTAATTCTGGGTTTAGTGACGACTCTGTAGACAAGAGAGTTGATAACCGATGATTGTTGGGTCGAATGATGAAGTGAAAATGCATTGAGATATCCGTTTGTGTGCGTTGGTTTTCTGTAAACAGAGTGACGCAATGTTAGGTCTGATTTCTTATTAAAAATAATATCCAAGAAGGGTAAAACGTATATTACAGTGTATAAACTTTAAATGGCTAAGAAAATTTAGGAGGGGTTTTTGACCATGAGGCCAAATAACATAAATAACGTTAAAATAATTTGTTAGTTGGAAGGTAGCGAGCCTCTAATATATTTTTCTTGTGACGGTAACGGTGGAAGTTTTTTTTAAACTAAACTACCTCTTTGCTCTATACAAAATTTTGAGACCGCCGAAATTGGTGACCTATGGCAGAAAAAATGTGTTTATTGTGATATTTTACTTATATTGTTACGGAATATTTGGTATTGTTTGCAATTCATTGTCTTTAAATTTCATTTAAATTCAGCTTCAAACTTATTTAGCACTTTTTAGGAAAAGTGCAAGCGAAGTGATTAATGGCCACTTGACCTTCTGCAACAGCGGCCTTTAATTTCATGTGACTGAATTTAATTTTGTTTATTGAAACGCACAATGCAAAATTGCCCTCTCAATTGTCTCTGTAGTACAATAAATTAAAATTACTCGTTTTGCATTTGCTACCAACAAACATTGATTTCGTTTTTGTATTTTTCTCGTGAGATTCTGCACTAAAACTTAAAGTGCAGCAGAGCCACCATCAGACAAACAATTCACCAATAACGCACAATTCCCATAGGTTTATGGAAATGGACTCTTCGTCTTCAATACTTGTAGCATCCGTGCACAACCTTTTACTGATAACTTTGTTAGATTAGGTATTTATTGGCTGACAAAATTTTTACAAATTTGGGGCCCCACTTCATAAATTATTGAATGTGGGAAGTGAAATTGCTGTTTTTTCTTTAAAAACTAGGAACGTTTATCCGATTATCTTCTAAGTGCATAAACCAACGTCCTTGTAATGATCTTCATTTCTTTAAATTTCGCGCTTTGCACAGCCTAAACTCGTTTTTTTCCTAAAAATTTTCTAATATGTTTGCATATTTTAAGAAATACGGCTCAAAAAATGTCACATTAAAAACTGTCGAATGGAAGATCTTTTTATATATCGAGAAATCTGTTGTAGTATGTAACACTTTCTATACAGCTTTGCCAACATTGAAGTTTGCTTTCAATGTGTTAAATCACACAATAATCAATATTAAGTATTTGGAGAGTTTAGAAATTTGTTTTCATCTAATCTAGATACACCCACATTCTTAATTTGGCATTTTTTCTTTATTCTGTGCATTCATATAGACAGGCGCGGTAAAATTCTCTGACGAAAATAGTTTGATTTTAATAATGGCTCCTCTAAAACGTTAGGTTATGTTTTACGCAGATGCGCGATCTTGTCAAACATCAAATCATTACTTGTTATATTCCACTGGCTTAGTACAGAGAAGAAAGGTCTCTGATATCACGTTTTTGTATAAAATAATTAATTCTAACATTAATAATTCTGAGGTGCTCTCGTTTGTTCGTCTGAATAAACCTCAAATTATTATTGGATCCAGTGACATTGTTAGTAATCGTTTTAGAAAAACGAACTCTGCAAAAAATTCTTCTGCCTTATTGATATTTTCTCAATGTAAACTGTACAAGTTAAACAAGCGATACATTACGGGGTTCAAACCTGTAGTATACACGTTGATTACCAAATAAATAAATAGTCAACGTGATATTTATTTTATTTTATTTATGCACAAACCATGGCAAACGTATTAAAAAACGTTTTAAAACTTAACGATTGAGGTTGGAAACAAATGTCGCAGAGGTCTATCATTTATTACAGATATGTACATAAAATATTGAGCAAAAATTGAGCATTCTACACACATTTCTAATTCTTTAAGTTGAACTTATATTTATGTAAATTAGGCGGAGAGGTATTTGGCTTCTCTTTAACGAGCTGCTGGAAAGCTCCGAATACTGTATCGACCTGGGAAACCATCATCAAATTAACATCAAACTGGTCCATGACTTTCTTAAAGACCGGATATATGTGGGTCAGCGTTCCGTGATCCAAGGTCGGAAACAGGTGATGGAGAGCGTGGTCGCCGAAATTGGTGAGCACCAGGAAATGGGAACCAGTGATTTCTTTCCTTTCCATAACTGCATCCAGCTGGCTTACACCCCAGTCGTAGTCGTCTTTGGACCTGAAATCGTTCGCGTGGAAACATAAATCGACTCTATGTCAGAAGTGCTTTTCCTACTGTGCTGTTAAAACATACTCCTTGTTTTTGTTAAACAGTTTTGACCTTATAATGTAATCTGCATGTATTTATTCTTTTTTTATTTGTTTGTTTGCTTTCCTCGCTAGGAAATTGTTTTCTTTTATTTATTTGTTGATCAATTTTTACTTTGTTTGTGTTATTTTTCTTCTAGTACTTCTTTTTTTTCTGCGTTTCTGTATTCCATTTCATAATTCTCTATTAATGTTTCTTACCAATACATATAATTTATTATTATTATTATTATTATTATTATTATTATTATTATTGTTATTATTATTATTGTTATTATTATTATTATTATTATTATTATTATACATAAATTGGTGGAAATTGTTCTTTTTTCTTCGATTCAATTTTTTTAATTTGCACAACAAAAATTATTTTTGTTTAATAGAGCAACGCAAATCACTAAATTTTCAACATACATTAAACTCTTTTTAACCACCCTGTACGAATTTCATAGCTCACCTTGGCTCGTCTCCGTCGTGGAATATGTCGGGGTGATGGTGGGCGGCGTGTTGACCCACCACGAAAAGATGTGTGCTGCCCACAAGGATAATATAGTTCCACATTCCAAACGTGGCTAACAGCGATTGTCCTCCGAAAATGTACATGGCAGCGGGCAAAATGAATGGTATCAAATCGCTCTTATCGAGGGCAATTTTCGTGCCCTTCAAATGTTCAATTAGTCTGAAAGATGTAATAGTAAATAAAATTCTCGCGTGAAACATAATAAATATACATTTTTAATGGGCACTCTTTTTTTCTTAGGATGCACGACTCATATTTGGTTCAGATAAAAAAATAAAAAAATATCTAGCCCAATGGCACGGAACATAGTCTAAAATAGAAAAATATTATATATTGTAATTATGGAATAGTTGACATTTTTCTGAGGATACGGTGAAGTTACTACTAGGGTAGAAGGGTAGAATGAAGTAAATACACAAAAATAACTATTGCAATAGCTCATTGCAAAAATACTACGTATACCCTTTCCGTACACATACAAATCAAAGCCAAAGTCTATATTGGGTCTTCAATCAAGCGTTTCAACTATTTTAAGTCTAATAAAGGAAATATACACTGTTGTATTAATTTCTATGCCATTTTATGTAAAAATTAGTGGCTGAAAGCATCAAAAACCTTTATTGCATTTGCCTGTATTTTATCGACTATCTATCTTATTTTATTTGCGTATGACAATATCTCTGCCATAAGCATCCGTCTCTACAACCTGCTGAGTATGATTCTCAATATAGGATCCAATGTATTTCCTCGCACAATCATCTTTTCTAATTTTAATAGAAGTGTCTTCTGATTTACACTGGACAAATCCAAAAACATGGTAGCACTTAAATTTTTGTCATTTAGTGATTGTAGTATGCGGTATTTTCTTAATGGCCCTTTCTGATTATAACTGATTTGAACGCGCTACCAAATAATAACATAGCTTATTCCAAAATTTTGGGTAAGAGAAGAGAACTTGGTCTATAATTTTTTTCTTCATCCGGATTTTTTTCCTCCTTAATTAAAGCATTCTCTAGAAGATGTGGAAATGTACCAGTAAAAAATAAATTCATAACGCGTACATATAACCTCAGCAATTATCCTTGAAGATAATAAAATATAATAAAAAATATATTGTTTACATATTAGGAATTAATGACAAACAACAGAAGCAGTTCCAACAAAATGGGAGTGTTGAGAATTTATGAAATTATTAAGTACAATCTTTTGTATGTATTACAATTTCATTCATGAAACTTCAAAAGTATTATGATTTTTAGTTTTTTCGATTGAAGTTATTTTGATTCATGTTATTTAATATAAATATGAGATAGTATGGTAAGCAATAAGCGGAACGAGTGTTTAATAAGTGTTTAAAAACATACTATACTTTTTCTACGATCGTTAGCTTTTGGCAAGACAATGCGAATACATTCACTGATATGACCATCAGAATTAACAAAGTCAAAATTCAAGCCCTGTGATAATATCTTCGAAAACATCCGATTCCTTCTAAACCCGTGCCGTAATTTTTAAAAAGTATTGTTTTACATACTTCCATGGCATATAAATTTCCTATTTACAGCTTTCAACTCCTTGTATCACAATTTCTTTCTTGCTCAGTTTTTGTTTTAAATAGTTCACAGAAGACGCTCACCTTGCAATATATGCTCGATGAAACCCGGTAATCCAAATGATTGGGAGCAAAAGCAACTGGCCATACTTTTTTAATGGAGTTTTGTTAACGGACATGTATTGCAGGAGAGGTTCGAACACTGAAATTTCGTAATCGTCTATGGTATTCGTGTGCAAGTGGTGACTTAGGACGTGACTCAGCCTCCATTCCCTAAAATTTCAAGTTTACTTAGACTCCGACTTCGGGGTGTAATTACAACGATTGACTTACTTTACTTTCAGCAAGGAGAATTGAAAGTAGTACATTCTAAAGTTATCCTTTTGGTGGAAGTAATTATGGGCGGCGATCGCGAGAAAGGCTACGAAGTTGCCGGCCAACGTTGCCAAAAAAAAGTTCCAGTATTTCGCAGCGAGAATCGACAAAATAAACATTCCGACCAATATGGAGTCGATTAAAAAGTTCGTGGTGTTAATAGCCTGTTTGGGGATAGTGGGAAGGATCTGTTTCACTTCTCTCTTCAGAGTTTTATAGAAACCGTCTTCTTTGAACGTGAACGGGGCGTTTCTTTTACTTTTTGCCTTCCTCACAAAGTATTTGCTCAATAATTCTTCCGGTAAAGCGGTCAAATGGTGAACTTCGAATGCTTCCGTAATATCGAGTCCCTGAAAGGCAAGGTTCGAAAGTCTCACAAATTCAAATTTAAAAATTACCCACCTTTGACAGGGTTAGCCAATCTGATCCGCCCGGATGACTTTTGACGAAATCTGTAAAATCATAAATTCCATCGTGTATCCTCCATAAACCTTCCGCGTTATCTATTTCCTTTTTGTCTTCGAGCCACATATAAACGGTGGTGAGCTGTGACCTCCGAGGCGGTGGCTTGATGCCCAAGGTTGATTTTGGCACATAGTTATCGTACGACTCGGCATTCGGTGGCATGTTTCCTGCAAAACGATATCAAAACCTTATCTTTGGCCATCGACACTAACCGCGTTTTTTTGCAGCTCATTTAGCAGCGCGCGATAAAAATTATTTTATTTTTCCACAGTGATAATACCGCAGTTTTTGTTTTATTGACGTTATTGTATTGAGAAATTTGTGGTAATGTTCCATCGTCAATTATGTTTACAAGGCGGTCTTATCGAAATTTAAGTCATAACGTCTTGTTTATTGTACATTGATAAACCCCGGAGCTGCGATAAGGAGTGGATATTTATAACACCAAATAGGGTACAGTAGAAAGCTCTCTAAGTTTTTTTCAGAAAAGATAAATAAAGCCGGGGAGGAAGTTGAAACCGCCTACGGACCTCCAATCCTCATACGTTACGCGTGTAACTGAATCTCATTAGTTTTGACTTTATATAGCTATACATTTATTTATTTATTTATTTGATGAAAGTAAACAAAATGTAACTACCAGGGAAAATATTAAAATAAAACAAATAATAATTAGAAATCTAACTAAACAAGAATATTTATTTTTATCACATTGCTTTTAAATATGACTCAGCCCAAAAAGCCCAACAAAAGATGGAGTTTAAATATCTGGGTATTGATATTACCAGTTATGGAATTGTGGAGAACGAAGTGAGGCAACAGGTAGCAAAAGCCAATAAAGTAGCAGGCTGCTTAAACGATGTAATTTGGCGAAACAACGATCAGACTGATCATGACCTATACGGCAGAAACAAGATCAGATACCGCAAAAACTAGACGACTTCTGGAGACTACGGAACTGAAGATTCTACGCCGCATCTCAGGAAAAACCCTGCTAGACAGAGAAAGAAACGAAAACATCAGGCAATCGTGCGGAGTGGACAACGAAAGAGACAGTGGAATGACCATATTAACCGTATGCAAGATGGCAGACTAGTAAAAATCGTTAGAGACAAATCACCAGACGGAAAACGGAGCGTGGGATGACCGAGAAAAATATGGAACGACGATCTCAATCCAGGTTGAGAGGCAACCGATGAAAGAACAGGCCATAGCCTACTATAGAAGAAAGAAGAAGAAGAAGAAGACATTGCTTTTAAATGATCAAAAGATTATACGCTATAAGCATTATACCAAGGGATGAGTACACTTAGTAGTTAGTATGATAAAAAAGAATGCCAAACATTGAGTTATTAAGGCTTCTATAACCAGTGATTAGCTGTATGTGATTTAAAAGCTGGGCAATAGTACATGGAGGCAATTTATAACATTAACAGCTTCGAAGTTACTTATTTCGAAACCATATCACTGGAGCATACTCAGTTTCAGAACATACTAAAGAAGTAGAACCAGCTTGAAACAAACCTAACAAACCTAACATGATTACTGTTGCCTATTATAAAAAACAGGTTTCGCGCTGCTCTATTTATCGGTAATGATCTACAAAAGCTAGCTGAACTACTATAGCATTTTTTAACATTTAAATCAATAATCAATCAATCAATAATTTTTGACCACATACACACATTCTGCACGTCGTGCTGAAGCACTTGGGCATCATTATTTGACTTAATCAATTCAAATATTTTTAAATCGCCAGCAAATAATAGATACTGCGAATACAAAATTACCCCAACCAGATCATTTATAAATAGGTTATCAATGTGATCACTGAGGAACCTCGGATAAAACTGGGTACGACCAGCCAAAAAGCTCTGTTTCCACACGATCTTCAAGTTTAAAAACTGCGATTTAATTTAATTCTCATTATCAATCTCAAATTAAGACCGATCTATATTAATAGCAAAGTGAAAACAATAATTGGTCTGACATTAACGACGACCTATGATTAACTGCAGAGTCATATTTTTTTATTACTATTAATAAATATTCATAGTCAATGGTCTAATGATTTTTTCACATTTTAAAATATATATTTTACGAATGCGTGAAACTGATCAAATTTTGAATCATGACGCTAATGCAAATTGTTATAGTTTCATTACACATTGCAAAACACCATGAGAAATATGTCATTATAATAATTTATAATATATATATATATATATATATATATATATATATATATATATATATATATATATATATATATATATATATATATATATATATATATATATATATATATATATATATATATATATATATATATATATATATATATATATATATATATATATATATATATATATATATATATATATAATAAGTTATAATAATTTTCTTATTTTTTATTATGTAAGAATTTGTTTTAATCATTCATTCATTCAAGAAGGTTACGTAATTAGTGTTGTTATTAAAGAAAACTTTTCACATAACGATTTATAAATCGATTTCCTGGAAGTCGAAAAGAAGTGTTTTGGGTTGAACTTTGACCGACGTTGCAGTACTAGATTCAAATTATTCTCGCGAAATATGACAGAATAAACTTTCAATTTGGTTTTTTCATTCTAATCTGAAAATTGGCACAAGGCACTGAAAACTAGATTTAAAGTCAGAGACCAATAGTATCGAATGTTTTTACGAAGTTAAGCAAAATTTAAAGCGTTTGCCTTACATTGCTTAAAAATTATTGAGTGTCGGTGGATTTTTGTTATTTTTTATTGTTGTATTCACGATACGATACTCCAGAATAATTGCTAATTAATAAAAGGCCACCAAAAAAAGTAAGTTTTATTTTTTTTTAGACTGAGGAAATGAAAATCTATAAAATCTTTTAAATCAAATGGAAATAAGCTAAAAAAATACCGTTGTCAGAATCAGAAAGTCAATTAACTGAAGCCAATTTTGGTGGATGGTCTGTAAATATTAGCTAGAGAGCTCTAACGAAATAATTTTAACATGTGTTTAAGAAATTTTTGAAAACGTCGCAAGTGACGCATTTGCAGTGAAACTAATAGCAATAAAACACAATTAAATTAGATTATGTATAAATTTTAAAGTTCGCTTTGTGAATGGTAGAAAAATAACAAATTTGAATCGACTTACCTTAGACTCTATGATTCTATTATCGCACTTAACAGAGCACACCCTACTGGCGCTATAGTCAATTTTAATCCTGCGGTGCATTATTTATAAGTGTTTACTTGCCAAGGGACCTTAAGATAACCCATGAACCACAATATTTTCAAAAGTTTGCATACAGATAAACTGTCTTGTATAATCCAAATTTTTGACGGGTTAATGATAATTTCGTTATCACTACAAATTGGATAATATGAGAAAAATATTTAGGTGTGTCAGTTTGATAACGAAATTAATATTGTTTTAATCTTAGAATAATAATGCTAATTATTGGTTAAATTAATAAATTAATTTAATTTTATATTATAAAAATTAGTTCTAATTTTAATTTGTTTTTAATTTTCCGCATTCTCTGTCATCAATTGGCATTTAACTCATGTTCTTTTATTAAATGGAAAATTTTACGGATTTGATTTCTGCGATGTACTTATATAAGATGACCAATAAAAAGGAATGACACACTGCAGAGGTTATCTGATATTTTATGACGAACATTTACAATAACGGGATCCTCCCGTTCTCTCCAGAACTCGACACGTCAACGTTCTCATAAATGCGGTTCTTATTACAGTAAAGCTGTAATTAAATATAAAACGAAGAAAAATTGTTACTGGGATAATAATACTTCAAACATTTTTATTTTTTTAACAACTTAGCAAAGCCAGTGAGTATTCAATGAAATTAATTGGGGTTGCTCAATTATTTTTAGTATATTAGGTTTAAAGTTCATTTGCCATGAAAATCGCACCGTTGACGAGCGTTGTAGAAAAAATTGAAATTGTTATCTAAATTTAAAACGCAAAACATTCATGTATAACTAACCAAAATTCATGTTATGGAGACCTCTGGAATCGTCTTGAATGTGAGGGAAACAATGACATATAGAATTGTGCTTAAATTCTATAGTAGCTAGTAAAATCATATCTCCAACGTAGATTTTTCAACAGAATGCGAGAAAATCATTCACATAATAATGAAATCAAAACTACAAAACTTTCAGAACATTTTGTATCGACGAATGTTAGCGATTACTGAGTAGGGTCGATTTCTGCCTTTTCCAAACCTGAACAGGTCTGCAGCCCCCTGGACGCCAGTCCATTCCTTGATGTTTCTAAAACAAGAGATGTTTCCGTTCATCATTACCCGAAGAAGATAGTACTCTCTGCGACATTTTGTAGTTACAATTGTTCGTTGCTTCACCACAGAGTTCAATACCAACACCAAAAATTAAAAAGCTTAACAAAAAGACTGAATGTGCAATAAATTAAAAAATTTCTTGTTAACCAAAACAAAACCTATTAGCATTGTTAATTTTTTTTCCGAAGACGTAAAAAATATTTGCAAATACTCATGTGTCACAAATAAAGCGTTTAGCTTTGAGATATAGCTAAGATGTGACTCCCAAATAGTACAAACTAATAATCTGCAAAAAATATTTTTGTATATTTATAAACAAAAAAAAAGTTAGTTTTGGTTAGTCTGGAATCACATTAAGGCATGATCTTTTCTGAACGCTTTGTTGTCTTAATTACGACATATTCTCTCAGGTTTTTATTGGAGGTAAACTGTCTCAAAGCTTACGCCAAGGTTTAAGCTATGAAAACGTACCAAATACACATCAAACTATAAGTTTAACTAGAAAATTAAAACAATATAAGGATTTAAAAAACATAACATCTTACCAAAATGACTTTATTACTGAGGTTTGTAATAAATTCTTGTAGAATGCCGTCATATATTTCCCAAAGTGCAAACTAGTTGGCAGAAATTTCGATAGACGAACGAATAGATTTAATATTTATTGAAAACGGCGCCTTAAATGAGCACCGATACATCAAACAGATTTTCCGGAACGCTGTGATTTCCTACTCTCATTTTATTGGAGACAAATTCGTATTAATGCCAAGATACTGCGCGAATTACACTTCGGGAAGAATTTGACACTATTCCACAAGAATTAGGTACATAACATATTGATGAAGTCAGTTTCGTACGAGCAGAGCTCACAAGACATTAGCATTAATCTTAAAATGTTATTATTTTTTAAAACTATATCCTTAATTAAACTTCGTTACGTATCCTGAATACGTATCCTTCTCATTACAAGATTTGATATGTATAATAAAAGTGTAAGTACATATTAAAATAAATAACATAACCGTGTAATTTAATAAATTTAACTACCAGTTAAATAGAATGAAGATTGTGTAATGAATGCAGAACAAACAAATTTAATCTAATTTTAGCAATTAAATTTTTCATTAAATTATTTCGCAGAAACGATCGCAATTTGCAAGTGCAAATAGAATTTTAAATATATGGGATTCTAATGCTTTAACAAAATTCATGATATTGTTAAATATATTATTTTTTATAAGTTAGAAATAGAACATATTTGATTAGTTAGCATAATGTATGTTCCGACATGTTAATAAATTAAGTTCTGAGCTGCGTTATTATTATTGTTTTTATTGAGAATGGAGGATTTTGCAATTGATATTTTGTAAGATCTTGATATGCATAGGGTTATGGAGTGCTCTGATGTCGACGGGCCCTAACACTTTTTTACGACATTGTAAACAATATTTTTGCCGTTTGCTTTCCCACTAAAACACCGATTTCCATCAAGTTCACCAAAGAAATGATCGCAAATATATTTGCGAAGGAGAGAGCTATCCGCAATTTCAGGTAACACAATTCTTCTTATTATTTGGGCAGATTTACCGCACTGCGTAAGACAATTAAGTTCTAGTCGCGCATGGCCTATACTCATTTTGTTCATCGTGCTGAGTTAAGCATACATTTTTGGTCATTTATTCAGAGTAAGAAGGATGTCTTATTCGTAAGCAAAGCACTCAAAAACAAAATAACTGTCGGTCCTGATGGCACACCAAATTTTATCATGAGAAACTGTTCCCACGCACTTTGTGCTCCTTTATGTTACATTTCTAACATGGTACTTGAAATAGGTGTTTATCCAGAACCCTAGAAAGTTTCCAAAGTTTATCCTATTCTCAAAAAAGGTGAAAATTACCCACCTATTTCGATCTTATGCAGTTTTTCGAAAATGTTAGAGATTATATTATATAAATTTATTTTTACTCGAATTAAAAGTAAAGTATGTTCCCTGTCTTCTTATGTATGTGGTTCCCTGAACAAGCAAGGTCAAATTGACGTTATATAAACTAACTTCCACATATCGTTTCTCCGATTCGCTGATTTCACTGTCGAGGTCCTAAATGGTGAACCGTCGACAGTTCGTTTAGATTGATGGGTTTAGATCAGTTCCTTTTGTTCCAACTTCTGGCGGGCCTCGAGGTTCTATACTTGGACCACTTCTGTTCAATATATTTATAGACGATCTCATATCCTTGATCATCTGCGACAAGCTTGCCTATGCGGATGCGCATTAAAACAGGCTCAGTGATGGACTAAAAATAAGTTGCACCTTAATATCAATCTAATGTGGTTTCTTACCACCGCGCAAAAACTCCTATACCCTTCAATTATAATGCAGATGGTACTATCCTGACTAGATTTGCCATTGTTGACGTTCTCTTTTGTACCTCGCATTACTAAAATGGTTTCCAGTACAATGCAAATTTTATGATCCGTAATAAGAAATTACAGGCATTTTTGTAGCTCAACTACGGTTAAATTTTGATTTAATTGTTACGATAGGTCTAAGCTTGACGATGGTCACCAATATATAACTGCCACGCTCAGTGTATTGGGAGGCTGCAGAGAAAGTTATTGAAGTATCTAATGTTCAGGGAGGAAGGTTCCTATCCTGAGAGGGGAGGTGATTATGATCTTCTACTGAGAAAGTTTAGCTGTACTGCCTCGGAGCTTTAGCAGAGACTTGTAATCTGTTTCATTTCTCTATAAGTTAGTTCATTACGGAATTGATTGTCCGTTTCTTCTAGAACAATTACGTTTTCATGTGGTGCCCCTCGAAGGGAAACATCATATATATATATATATATATATATATATATATATATATATATATATATATATATATATATATATATATATATATATATATATATATATATATATATATATATATATATATATATATATATATATATTCTCACGTATTGATTCACGGATGGAAAAATGTGATGACACTATATTCCGGGATATCATCCGTTCGCTCGTTGAACTCCGACTGGAATCCTGCATCCGACTGGAATCCTGCAAATCCTGAACACTTCGAAGTGTTTTCGGAGCGCGAGCATTGAAGATGCCAAGTGAGATTTTGGCGAAACGTCTGCAGGATTCCAGTCGGATGCAAGATTTGCAGGATTCCAGTCGGATGCAGGATTCCAGTCGGAGTTCAACGAGCGAACGGATGATATCCCGGAATATAGTGTCATCATATATATATATATATATATATATATATATATATATATATATATATATAGGGTTCACCAATACTCAAGAGTCGCAGAAAATACATTTTAGGTAGTGTGTTACCAATCTGTTGCGTTTCCACAGCTTAGCGCAAGTCGCTTCCATTGAAACAGTATATCTCAAAAAAACAGATATAATGTGATTAAAAAAGCAAAACGTTCATTTGACAATAGCTGCCATCGCGGTTGCATTCTACAGGGTGTTCCCAATTTCGGGGAAAACAAATCGTATCATTGTTGCTCAAAGTTCAATATGAAGGAACACAGCTTCGTTCCTGAGTTACGTAGCATTAGTAATTTGTATAGTTCGATCACATCTATTACATGGTTGTTTGATGACGCTTCTGATCGCTGGAAATATATTCTAGAGTGCGTTTAACGTGAACATATGAAAATCTAATTAAATTTTAATACTTATCGCACTTACATGTGACATCGTAGGGTTGTTCTCCAGAATCCACAATTTCATTTTTTTCTTCTGCAGTGGCGGTAATGTCCTGGCGAAACGTTCGCATAAAATAGGTACCCGTCCAAAATCCGATGGCGACAACTCAAACAAAAAATTGGCGGTTAGCAGTGCCCGGAACTAATTGGACCCAACATTATCGAATATAATTTTTCAGCACATCGTGTACGGCAACACAAATAACCGTATTTTTCTAAACGTTGCCGTGGTGTTGCGACAGTGCCGTCCGACTCTACGATCGTACAGTTTCCCGACGACGTCAAAAACAAGCATTCTAAAATAGATGCCGGTAAGTCGGACATTTTCGCCCGTTATTGTTATTTAAAGTTCCTTAGCCGTGTGTGTGTGCGTCAAATTTAAAATTATTATCTTCGTAAATTGTTCTCGGTTTTTCGTAAAACATCCGAAGCAATGGCCTACAGTTGGGATAACAGAGTTAGCTTTGTCGTTAAGTATTTGTACGGTAAGTATTCGTATCCATTTTAGGTTTGTTTCGAAAGAATTGACGTTCAAAAATTAATTTAATATGCAACATATAAACATTCCGAGTTGAGAACTCTTACTTATGCATTCTGTGGGAATAAGCCCAAATAACCGTAGAAGTTGTCTTATCTGCTCTTTCCGTGCATGTTTGCAAATCGGGTACTTCCGATGTAAGTAAAATGCATCCTTAAACATTATCCATCCATATGGATCGAATAAAATCACGTTTTACTATTGTCTATGGATAATTGATAAAATTTGTGTCCTCCACAACTCCATAACGACAATATCATAAAAGGGAAAATCATGCATACATAGTTCTTGACGCATAGGTGGATGCGCAACCCTTTCGATAATCAAACAAAATTAGTAAAAAGCGGAATAAGAATGACCTTACATTTTCAAAGCATGTTTTTCCAAACCTTTTTCACTTTTATATTACTCGATAGTGTAATGTGTAACGGATCGTAAATATGTCTCATTTATAGTAACAAAAAATACTGCAAAGATAGTGATTGTGTTATATATAAAAAAATGGTGACCCCCATCCCACTATATATGGTTTGCAAAATTGTTTGCAAGCTAACTATCATACTATTATTCTTTTAGAAATATCCAAATTTTCAAAAAAATAAACGCATAGCCGTATTGGTACCTAGCAAATCCAAATATTTTAAAAATAAATCCTTAACTCCTTTTTAATTTTGCAGTACTTTTTCCAATATTTCTAAATATAAAAGTACCACAAAATTAAATAATTATTGACGAATTTGTATCCAAATTCATAAAAATGTTATTACATATCATCCCTAATACAAACTGTTTGGAAACAGTTGGCAAATAACTTTTGGCCATTTTGATGTTTCTGAGCATTTGAAAATATTAGCTTTTTTTCGAATTCACTTACCACTAGGGAGAGGCTCCATTATAGCTCTCAGGATTTTTATACGAAACTAAGTCAGAAAGTTATTGAAAAAAGCAGATATTTAACGTAACTCACAAAAAAACAACACGACTTGAGCTGGAACTGACATATTTCTGAAAGTATTCAGAACCAGCATCTAGGGTAGTATAATAATTGTAGTGTAATAATTGCGATAATGAGTTATGTTGATAGAATGGCCCAAAATATGTAACTGTAAGTACCACGGAATGTGCATAAATAACATAATGTACATATCGAAAGAGGTCATCTCTTGACTAGTTTCATTATTAAAAGTTTACATAAATACATTAGTTACATTAGTAAATGGTGTTTTAAAAAAATAATGAATCAATCATCCAATGATGGATGGTGGATGATGGTGGCGTGCAGTCAAGCAATTTTTTTTTCCGATAAAAATGCAAAATGCAGAAAATGGTTAAGAAATCGAAAACTTTCGTTTGTAATTGGTAAATCTTTAAATACACTGTTTTATTTGTATGAAATATTGGGTGAAATGTTTTTCTTCCGTGATGCGCAAGTCCATAAATTTAGAATCGCAGCAAACAAAATTGCCAGTGTTTAGAGCTCAATTTTCATAACACCCAAAGCAGCTTTTTACCCACAATTAAATGGTTTAAATATAATATTTTTAAAACTAATAGTTCCCAACCACGGAATTGATTTTTATATTGTATATTTTTCGAAAAAAAAACTTTGAAACTGAAACAGATATAAATGAGGCACCTACATTAGTTATTGTATATCTTCTTTAAAACGGGAAGTTTCCTTCACAAAATTTTCAATTTGGCACATCCGATGCATGATTGCGAATATTCACTAATTATTTTTAAAAATTGAACTGAGGAGGCTTTTACTTGATGGAAATCCATTTAACAAAATAAATAAGAACTATATGTTCAGATTTTCACGAAATTATATATTTTGACATGACAATTGTTTCGACAAAACTGTGTCTTTATCAAACGTAAGATTTACAAACTACCTGGTACCATATATACCGAAAAATGACAATAAAACCTTAATTAATGTGTTTGTGAGAATTTAAGTTCAATAAAGGAGAGGTATTTCAATCTAATTGAACGTTAAGCAATAGATTTGAATGTCTCATTTTGTTAATCTCCATGGCTTCCAATAAATTTGATTTTCTACTTTCTGTGGCTGTATGTAAAATATCAAAATTGTCGTCAAAAATGTGTTTTTCTGTGTTTAAGTGTGTACCATAATTATAATCTAGACTATTGTTTTTAAACGCTCTTTTGTGTTCGTTAATGCGTTTTTTGAAGGATCTACCTGTTTGTCCAATATAAATTTTAGGTCAACACCAAGAAATTTCTCAAATGTCACTAGTAAAAACTATCAAAAACAAAACATCTGAAAATAACATAATATTTACACGTGTAGATAAAGGGAAGACAGTCATAGCTATCTACCTCCCAGAATATGTTTAACCAACGATTTTCTTAAGCCAGAACTTTTCCAATGTATCAAACACGATCCTACCGGGTTATATCAAAGACAAGTCAAGGAAGTAAGTAAGACAAAGACAAGTATTTTTTAACAACTTTGAATCCACAACCGCCGAAATTAACCAAAACTACCCAAAACTTATTTCCCAGCATTCCACCTAGGGATGTGATAGATTTAGTAGAATTCACCCTAACTCAGAAGCGGGTTAAGCCATTGGTGAAACAAGATTTATTAGATTGCTTTAGACCAAAATTATTTTGAATTTAATGGCCAGATTTACACCCCTAAGGAAGGTTTGATTATGGGAAACCCACTTAGTCCTTTGTTAGCCGAGATTTTTATGGATAATTTGGAAAATATCATACTAGAACATCCTTTAAGTAAAAGTTTTCTGATGTGGTATAGATACGTGGATAATATATTTGCTTGCTTTGTTGGAACGGACAGACAATTGAATTCTTTTTTAAATTACATTAACGTATTACATAATCGTATAAAATTCACTATCGAGATTGAACAGGATAATTCTATTAATTTTTTAGATTTAACTATTACGAAAACGCAAAAAAAATAAAATTTTCCATTTATCATAAACCTTCACAGACGGACATAGTAATACATAACAGCTCAAATCATTCTTATACACACAAAATGACTGCATTTCACTCTTTTATACACCACTCTCATAAGAAAATTACAACAAAGAACTTAATATCATATAAACAAATTGCACTGAACAACGGCTACAATCCGTCCATCATAGATAAAATTATAAATAAAAAACAAATCCAGGCAACAGTGAACTCTATTTATCCGAGAACCCAGTGAAAAAGTTTCAAAACATTTGTCAAAATGCGGTTTAAAAATATCTTTAAGAACTAACAACACAATAGGACAAATTTTAAAAAACAATAAAACGAACTGTCCAAAATCTCAAAAATCAGGTGTCTACAAGTTGAAATGCGGATCTTGTCCTAAAATTTATATTGGACAAACAGGCAGATCCTTCAAGAAACGCATTAGCAAACATAAAAGAGCGTTTAAAAACAATGGTCTAGATTCTAATTATGCTACACACTTAGACTCAGAAAACACATTTTTGACGACAATATTGATATTTTGCATACAGCCACAAAAAGTAGAAAATCGAATTTATTGGAAGCCATGGAGATTAACAAAATGAAACATTCAAATCTATTGCTTAACGATCAATAAGATTTAAATAAATTTAAATTATTGAACTTAAATTCAGACAAACACATTAAATAAGGTTTAATTGTCATTTTTCGGTATATATAGTGGCAGGTAGTTTGTAAATATTACATTTGATAAAGACACAGTGTTGTCGAAACAATTGTCATGTGCATAATATATAATTTCGTGAAAATCTGAACTTTTAGTTCTTATTTATTTTGTTTAATTAGTTTTAACATCTTTTTTTCATAACGTGCCCAACAATCACCTTTTGTATTGTATTGTATTACACTTTTGCTTAGAACTTGGAGCTTTCAAATAGATTGTTGAGGCAGATTCGATTATTTAGAGGTTCACTTTCGTACAATTTTAAAACAAAGATCATCGACCGAAAAAAACTTGGCAGCAACATTAACGACCGCAAGTAGAAATTGAAAACGTATTTCGGGTGTAGAAATGCATTTTGAAAATATATCGTTATACAAACAAAACATGATAGAAGTATAGCAATTCCTTTGTTTTGGGATATCTATACTTTAAGTGTGCATGTTCATCATCTACTGTATAGAAAACCTAGATATACGAAATGCCTCCTCGTTTTTGACGTATTCAAGAAAGCAGCACAGTAGATAATTTTTTATATACAGTGTGGCCCATTTGAATTGTGAAAACACAAAGAAATATGAACCTTTTTCAACTGATTTCGAAGTTTTTTTTTAATATTAATTATTATAAACTGCATAACCAAATTTTCTAAATTTAAATGTTGTCATATTTTGGTATTCAATATTTTTTCATTTCGTTCATTCGGCACTCGCATTATGCTTTCGGCAGAGAGACCTATGGATTAGAAAACATGCCTGCTTTGCCTATTGCAGGCACTTGTCTGATCCTAGAACTAAACAATACATCCTTCAATTTCTTTGCAATTTTTTCGCACCTATTTAGTATTATGATTAAAAAATATATCTTCCAGATATAGATAATAATGGATACTTGGACGAAAGGGATTTCGCATGTTTGGCACTTCGAGCCACTATCATCGAAGGAAAAGGGGAGTTCAGCTTTTCAAAACTGCAAGAAAATCACCACATAATGTTGAGTCTCTGGGAGGAAATTGCGGAACTAGCCGATTTCAATAAGGTCAGGTCTGTGCAGTGAATGCATATAAAGTTCCAAAAACTGGAACCTGTGATGGAAAACGAAACATATTGTTTACAGTCAGAACTACACATAACCAGCGTGCTTCTAATGTTGATTATGCTAACTTGGTTAACGCGACGCATACGGTGTAGTTGTGGCTCTAGATAAAAAGAGCTATAAATTACTCAATATTACCAATCAAAACTTATTTTACATACAGATGTAGACTTGACTTCCTTAAGATATGTTTTAGAAAGGTATAGTTTATTTCAAAGATTACCACCGTCACTATTTACATAATTCCTACCTACAGAGCAACACCATTATTAAAATAAACAACTCTTGGTCCAAAATTTAGGACCTTTTGCAGGATGGCAAGATAACAGTCGAAGAGTTTAAGCAAGCTGTCCAGCAGTGTTGTATGGGCCGCCGGTACGAGGATTTTCCACAGGCCATGAAAATGTTTATAGATTCCAATTTTAAAATGGTTGACTTGAATGATGATGGAGTGATAGATGCTGACGAATATAGATTTAACTGTATTACGAAATTTCCTATCGACGACGTGGAAGTGGTAGATGAAGCATTTAACAGTATGTTAAGTGTAAGTAATGTTCTGTTAATAAAATTTTTGGTGTGTCTGAAACCACATTAATAATATACAGGGTTTTTCACTTAAAACTCCGCACGCCAATAAGTCCAAAACGAAAAGAAATATTTAATTTATGTAAAAAGTAGTCAAAGTGTGGGGTCCAGTAGATATTTCCTAAAGTTTAAAAAATTCGACGCCTGCAAAGAGCTGGGCGTCGCGACGCGTCGAAAAATTATTCGATTGCAGAGACTTGAGAGAGTTTTTGATAGTTGTGTTCGAGCAGATGGACATAATTTTGAACAAAATTTTTGAAATGTCTTATTATGTAGTTAATTGCAATAATAATTTTCGTTAGTAACTTGTAGGTATTTTACTGTTTTTTCATTTATTTATCATGTTATCAGAACTAAATCGATGAAAAATAATAAATAAAATCATACTAAAATAGTTGAAATCTATTATTTGTAATTGCACTTAAAACAACTGCGATAACAATGGTTGCCATAGTAACTAACATTCATGGCATACTTGTAAAAATAAGCGTTAATCACATTTTTTATTAATCAAGAAATGTTTACTTTAAATCGGTATAACTTAGAAACGGGTAAAGTAAATAAGTTTGAGTAAATAACAAAAAAGTTTTTAAATAATATGTACTTTTGTATGCGCGTATTTCCAAAGTCTCTGCAATCGAATAATTTTTCGACGCGTCGCGACGCCCAGCTCTTTGCAGGCGTCGAATTTTTTAAACTTTAGGAAATATCTACTCGACCCCACACTTTGACTACTTTTTACATAAATTAAATATTTCTTTTCGTTTTGGACTTATTGGCGTGCGGAGTTTTAAGTGAAAAACCCTGTATATATATATATATATATATATATATATATATATATATATATATATATATATATATATATATATATATATATATATATATATATATATATATATATATTAATATTATGATTTCGATAAACAAGAGTTCGGAATACAAAATTTAAACTTTTAGGATGATGATAGGAGAAGAGGCGGACTTACGCTCTCGAGATACGAAGAATTATATGCTCAGTTTCTTGGAAACCCTGAAGAAACTTCAGCAGTTTACCTCTTCGGTCCCTTATCGGAATTTTTCAACGAGTTTGAGTCTTAGTTAACTGCCAATTCTAATACAATGTTTTTTTATTAAATAAAATCATTTTAATTACTAAACATTTATTTTATTGCTTCCCACGAATACTTGGTATAAAATTATAAAAATGTGCAACAAACACTTATGTTGTTACTAGGGAAGGCTAAGAAAAAGATAAAATCCCCTAAATATCAATCTGAAATAGTATCTCAAAAACTAACTACTGATTTATCTATTTCTTGTAACCCTTATAACCAACATTTACAAAGATTGGATATGTTGAACAAGAATGGTTCAGAAAAAGTAGCTGTTTAAATAACTAGCACATATTTATGATACATAAATGTGTGTAATTCTAAAATTTAATTGCTATTATCCCAATTCTCCAGCTCCAAATTCCAGAGCTTAACATTGTCCATGTGTACAAGTTCCCTCTTACTATCATCAATTTCCACAATTTTATCCGGAAATGCTGGTCTGGATGGACAGTTGGGAATATGCTCTTGTAGCAGGTCACTGTTTTGAAATCGATGCATGGCATTAAAGGGGCAATCCAAGTAAGTAGGATAATTGATCATACATCGAAGTATGTGTCGTTGTAGGGATGTTTCAGTCATCACGTGTTGCGGATTAAATGGGCATATTACTAAAGACGGCTGACTCAACGACACTTCCTTTCTATATCCATTCCTTGCCCTATAATTAATTAAAACAATATTTGCAATTAAATCATAAAATGGACAAACGCTCACATATCGCCGCGCGGTTTATTTGTTATAAAGAAACATTAAAATCCTGCAGGGAACAAATAATATAAAATCTAAAGTGTAACCAAAATCTAAAATAAGTAAAATAAAATTAAATATATAGCACAAAAATATAGGTTAGAAGCATTTTCTTCCTCTATATGGCATCAATGGTCTGCATATTTTATAATAATGCTAGGGTGAAACAACCGGTACCAAAGTTTTGAGTCGAATTTACTGTTATGAGGAGCAAATTTAGACCGAAATATTCACCAATTACTTTTTATTTTTTTTATATTTTATTTTTTCTCCTGGATCCACAGAAACAAATTTCGGTAGTTTGGTGGGTTGCGAATTGCCTGAATGTTGACGTGTTAAGTTGATGTAAACGGGAAAACGATAAAATTATGTATTCGTCAGTGGAATTCGTTAATAACACAAATTGTGGCAATATTTCGAGGAAATAGTTTACAACATTATGTGGGGAAACCAGATCTACTTGGCCGGAGTTTTGTAGAAGCCCCAAATTTTATTTACACCTTTACATTCCTGACATTTATCCTTAGCAAAAAAAAAATATCATTAATTATTGGTCTGTGATAGCTAATTATTTTTTGTAATGTTAAAACTATCATTTAACAATTTAAAGTAGAAAGGTGATAAAAATGTTGTACGGAAGATTAAGAATACACACTTGCAGAGTTATTCTCCTAACCTCTTTAGTTTGGTTTTTGGTTGATGTTGTTATTCTAAGTTTTTATTCCGACTGTTTGGGTGGTTCATGCAAATCGAAATCCACACAGCTCAGTGAGAGTCAAGCATTTGAAGGCGATGAATTCGTAAAAACTTTAAGTGATGATGAAGTCAGAGATGAAGAAATTAGAGCTCAAAGGTATGGGTTCATATTAATGTTTTGCATAGATTAATGATTTAAAATGTAACTGGTCCTATTGTTGTAGTTTCCTTTGAATGCCTGCATTACCTTATAGTTGTATAATATTGAATATCCGAATATAATGCCCACACTTTTTATGTATTTATATTTCATTCTTTCAGGAACATAGCATCCGAAAATACTGGGGTGCCTGTCACATACAATTCACTGCACTTAAAAAGGTGGAGACCTGCTCCAACAGTTTTGCCTGCACCAGGGCGAGTGGGTGAGAAGGGAAAAGCAGTTCATGTGCCTCCTGAAAAAGAAGATCTAATGAAGGAGAAATTTAAACTAAATCAGTTTAATCTATTAGCAAGTGACATGATCTCGTTAAACAGGTCATTGCCTGATGTTAGGTTAGAAGGGTGCAAGACCAAACTTTACCCTAAGCTTCTTCCAACTACATCTATTGTGATTGTTTTTCATAATGAAGCTTGGACTACTTTGTTGAGAACTGTGTGGAGTGTGATTAATAGGTCTCCAAAAGCATTGCTTAAGGAAATTATACTTGTTGATGATGCTAGTGAAAGAGGTACATAGTATAAAAAATTGTTTGCAGTAGAAATATTTTTGGCCTTTTAGAATATTTAGGCAAAAAACTAGAAAATTATGTTAAAAACTTGCCTGTTCCCGTATATGTCTTGAGGACTGAGAAAAGGTCTGGGCTTATTAGAGCTCGATTACTAGGAGCCAAAAAAGTTACTGGTCAGGTATGATATTTAAAAAAAAAATATGTGTACTATATTTTTATTAATTTATTAATGTGTTGTTAGGTCATCACATTCTTAGATGCACATTGTGAATGTACAGAGGGTTGGCTAGAACCTCTTTTAGCTAGATTAGTAGAGAACAGGAAAACAGTTGTATGTCCCATCATTGATGTAATATCTGACGAAACATTTGAATATATCACAGCATCAGACATGACCTGGGGAGGATTTAATTGGAAACTGAATTTTAGATGGTAAGAATTTCTTACTAATTCTTAGAATTAAAGGTACCACTTGTTCTTGTTTATTTAAAAACATGGTATCACAAATAAAGCTCTTATAATTTTCAAAGTTTGTATTAAACTGTGTAACAAAAGGTACCGCGTATCCCAAAGAGAAATGGAAAGAAGAGGTGGAGACAGAACAGCACCATTGAGAACGCCAACTATGGCAGGTGGACTATTCTCCATAGACAAAGACTATTTTTACGAAATAGGTGCCTATGACGAGGGTATGGATATCTGGGGGGGAGAAAATTTAGAAATGAGTTTTAGGGTAAGTGTTTTTCAATTAAATTTACATTGACTAATTATTACAGTATCAGAGCTTGAATCTCAAGCTTATTCTATATCATCCACAAATCAAAATCACAACGTTTTTTTATAAAAAAAGCACAAATATATAAATGCGCAAGATTTTTTACCTCGCAATTTTTTAACATAATACGCTCAGGTGTGGCAGTGTGGTGGAACCTTGGAAATAGTTCCATGCTCCCATGTAGGCCATGTGTTTCGGGACAAATCCCCTTACACATTTCCTGGAGGCGTGTCAAAGATTGTGTTGCATAATGCCGCTCGTGTTGCGGAAGTTTGGATGGATGATTGGAAGGACTTTTATTATATTATGAATCCAGGTTTGAAGATGCTTCTGCATTGACGCTTTTAAAGTGAAATGTTTTTAACATGAGATCAAATAGGAACCATAACATCTGGCGTGAAATATCGGGGATTTGCTTATGGAAAATTTGGGTTTATTAGCTTTCCGTGTATGTACTACTAAGATACTAAGCATTACTTGTTCCCAATGTGGGAAAGGTTTGGACGCATCAGTTATCTTGAGGGATATTTAACACTGACATTAGAATTGATGACAAAAGTCAGCGAAAACCTACATATCAATTTCTAACCAACACCAAATACTGTGCCCTCAAAAGGAGATCGTAACGTAAACATATGAATTCATTCTAAACCCTATGAATACCATTGCCATGACAGTAACATAATGATGTTTGCGTGAACATATCATTTTTGGGATCTGGGAAATTTAATTTTTATTTAAACTATGAATGGCTACAAGAAAATTAAGTTTTTTGACCGACCTGATGTGACTTTCAATTGAGCGTGATAAAGTGCATTTTAATTTTATTTCTTTTGTGATATCTTCAAAGATAATCCCACAGTAATTAAAAAACAATTCAAAATATGTTTAAGGTGTAATAAACACACAGTGATAAACTATTTAAAAACTGATAGCAGTAATCTCGATAAATCGAAAAAACCTTCTAAATCCAGTGAAATTGGTTTTGTTTGACGTCATTGCCATTTCCAGCGAAACTTAATGAAATAAATCGCTGATCCAAGCACCTTCTAGCCTATGTTTCATAGAAAGAAGGCTACTAGAAAGTAACACGCTTTGTCTGCCATTATTAAAACCAATGTACCTAACGATAATGAGAATTGAGAAGTGTTACAATATTGTCTCATTGACTTTAAACGCATTTTCACCAAGACTATACCTTTCACATCGTGATACATTTTTTGTTACCTCGAATGACATCCATAATAAATTAATTACTAATTTAATAACACATTGTTTTGTTTTTGCACGGTAACAACCAAAGCATATTTTTCTGTTTTTTAATAGATTTGCCAGAAATCACAACTGAACACAGCAACATTTTTTTACTATTCATTTGAAGTTTTTACCAATGGAAAATCCTAAAAGCAATTTTGCATATAAGAGTACTGAATGACACCTTACACTTCTTTCTTCATTAAATTAAATGTTAGGACAGTGAGAGGGGGGTGGGGGGGTTGTTTTTGGGAAGATGCATTGTAGTTGGGATTGCTGCATTATGTATTAATTTTGTGTATTATAAAATATTTAATGCTTGAACTAATTTTAGGTCATTAATATTAATTCATTTGTACACTAACATTTAACATTTGAATAAACAATTGTGTATGATAATATGTCAAAAATGGTGCCCAAACTGAATTAAATTAGGATAGCGATGTCCTACTACGTGCATATCCAACATCCCAACACATCCATAGTGCCTACAGCATGCCAACCTAGTATACTCCTTTAAATGAGCTGAGCAATTACCTCTACGATTGCCTAGGTGTGGATGTGCGGGGGCCAGCTGGAAATAGCGACTTGTTCACACGTGGGCCATGTGTTTAGGAAGTCTACTCCCTACTCGTTCCCTGGTGGCACATCTCGTATAGTCAACCATAACAATGCCAGATTGGCCGAGGTGTGGCTTGATCAGTGGAAGGATTTCTACTATAATATTAACCCAGGTTCTATGTCGGAGTATATTTATTAACCATTTTGCATGGAATGAATGATCTGAACACTTCTGGTTTCGTTTATCTTGTTTTTTTTTGTGGATTTCAATTCAACACCTTGATTGTTGGTTTTGGCTAGTTGGAGGTTTCATGTATCCTAATAATATAAATATGCAAATATAGAACACCAAGCTTTCGTAAGTTTGCACATTGAAAGCCGTTGACTATAATTATTGCTTTATTGTCAAATTTCTGAACTGGACTCTGGAAGCGAAAAATTGTGAACTATTTTGAAAAGTGCACACAAGATTGTTGTACTAAATTTTATATCTTTACAATAAAATAATACAATTTTAAATTGACAACTGAAAATAATTAATAAAATTGGAGTACAAAATACAGTGTGCTCAGCAGTTTTAATTAAAAAAAAAAACATGCCTCAAGATCTGATATAACAAAAGGTTTTTTTGCTTTGTATTTGAACACACTGATTGATAAAATAGTTGTGGGTCCTGACACTATATTGAAAATTCGTCGCATATCTATCAACCACTTTTCCATTGTTCAAAAACAAGAATTTGTAAGTCCTAAATTGACAATTTAAGAAAGGGGCGTATGATTGCACGTTAATATTAAAGAATTGCTTCATTGGGATAAAGTTTTAAACATTTAGGACATGCTATCTTACATTTGGTATAATCCATCACCCAACTATAGAATGCCACAAGTATGTATTATTCCCTGTAGAAAAAATTAAGTTAGGGCTCAGCTGTTTGGACGGTTTTCATATTTTAATGAAATCTATTTTCTTAAGTCTGCACAATTGTTTACGTCATTTTTGTAGTTCTTATACACCTTTCAGTTGGCTTTTCTTCCGCTTTTTTGCTTGGCGTGTGGATTAAGGTAATAATATTAATTTATTCCCCCGAAAATTGATTAGTTTACTCACGTAAGCGGTCAGTTTTTCGGGAAGCTTTTCCCCTATTTCCTCTCATAATATTTTTAAATCTGTAGGTGCCCGAAATGTTCCAGTGGGAGACGTTTCGTCGCGAAAGGAATTAAGAGAAAAACTGAAATGTCAAACTTTCAGATGGTATTTAGAAAATATTTATCCCGAATCTCAAATGCCGTTAGACTACCATTACTTAGGCGACGTAAGTTGTGTTAGGCTGTAAAAAATTCGAAATAAAAATTATAGAATGCTGTAAATTAAACACCTCCATCTCGCAGATAATGAGCCCAATCTGCTTGAGCATAGTCATCGGTGTGCCACATGGAATTAAATTGTTTGATTTTTTATTCTTTAATGCGTAGCAGTAAGCAAATCGCGTTTTGCAAATGAGGGCAGTGTTTATCAGCGGTGTTTAATTGAGGTAAGACAGCACCAACCGGGATTGCAATATAGGGAGTAGCATAGTTAGTTATTATATACTAAATATTGGGTGTGCCCGGTAGGGCATAATGCAGTTTCGCATAGTGCAGTCTTACCGTTACAGGTTCAGACTTTATAGACACTTTTGAACCACCGAACATAAATGAAACAAGGGTCACGCTCCCGCGCATTTGGTTGTGGTTCGGTCGTGTATTTGTTGACTTGGTGCAATACCATTTTCACTTGTTTGAAGTGCATATTTTGTTGTAGTATATTTTCAAAATATTTAACAAATTACTTAACTTTCAAAAGAAAAACTGCAAAGTTAATATTTAAAAAAAAAATTGTAACATCAGGGTCGTTCAATATATCCAAGGGATGGCGATGATAGTATCGAAAATAAAATTTTCAGCTGCATTCATCATATATTTTAACCCATATTATCTCAAGCATGAAAAAAATTCTTTTTTGCCCTGAAATTATTTATTTTATTACACTTAAGAAACCACTGGGAAAAAACATTAAATAATGTTTTTGGGGCACATAAGATGTAACATAATTTGTACATAAATATACAAAAGAAAGTTTAAATTCGACAGAAAACAACTAACAACAAACAAATAGAACCAGATTTGATACAAAAAAACGCATAATATTTTACGGTGCGTGAGCGCACCACCGGTAACACCCGGTTTCATTTTTTGTGATATTTTACAAAGCATGAAGTATGTAAATGCGCATTACACTTATTACAAGTAAATTGTGTGGCTGTGGCATATTCTACATCTCCTTCGGGTTTTATTATTATCATAACGCACTTGATCTATGGCAGGTGCAAGATTTCTTTGAGTAATTGTTTTATCAGTTTTTAAAAGTCGCAAAGCAATGTAAGATTTAAAATCAAATCAATCACTTCATCATCAAAAAACAAAAAATATTTCAAGCGGAGTTTTTCCAGAGAGCCTAATTTTAGTTCCTCAGATGATCTAAATTCATCGGATATAGGTATGTGAGTGTACTCAGCCAATTCCAAGGTTTCATCATCTGATGAGTCCCATTAAGGACTGTTGAAGGACAGCTGTATTATTCGATGTATGTAACTCGAAAGTTCCAACTATATGAGTTGGTTCCCCAAACTCTTGTAGATTTATGTTATCGTTCATATCTTCTTCGTCAGTCAAGGTATCCACGTCGGGTGGAATAGAGACCGCGTCAATATGTTCTGTAAATATTTTTTCACGTTATTTTTTAGCATAAATTTGTAAGGAATGGAATGCTACAATACATAAGAATACGTAAATCCAAATAATACTTACGACTTTCATCGTTATTGTCCTCATCCATCACGATCTCCTCCATAGCCGCCTCTAATTTCTTTTGAGTCAAATATCTCGGAAATGCCGTATTTTACGAACTGTAAAGTTCACTGCACGACAAACTAATACTAAAAAGCACGCTAATTGTTTCATGACTTGTCTAGACTTGCAATAACAAACTTTGGTTTCGCAGATAAAACCAGTGGTGCATTCACGCACCAGTAAATATTTTCAAAAAATAAAACATAATCAATATAGTATTTCCAATGTATGTTTTCGGCGATGTAATCTATATGCTATAGACTTAACAAAAATGGCAATACAAATCCAAAATATTTATTTTTACTATTTTGGATTTACTTGAAAATGTGATACAAATTTATGTACCGCTTTTGTTAACTTTTGAAGTCATATACACATAATTTAGCGATTACTACGGTGTTAGGTCCTTTAGTAGAGATAATAATAAAATTTCTAAATGGATGTGCAAAAATATTTCCTGGATGTGACAAAAAAAACATAGAACGCACCACTGGGACAAAATGGGTTAATTATTGTTAGCGATTGAAGTAAATAAATTTAATCTGTCTATAGTATTTGAAAAACAAAAAAAAAAACAAAAAGCAGTGGCTTTAATTTTGCACGAAAAATTGGGTGTTGAGAATCTAAGGCTATTATGGCGCAATCCAATCCGATTAAATTTATGCGTGCATAAACTCTTGATGAAACATGGATACATTACTACACGTCAGATGGCTTAAAGTTAAAGGAATTATTGAACGACTGTCGTATGTTTGGCTAATTTTATATAAGGCTTTTTTGTTCTCTTTTTAAACAACTGTGTGAATCAGTTCCCGGGTTTATTTTTGTATTATTTCTTTACCAGACTTTCGTTAAAGTGTTTTTTTTTCTCGACGGGTCAAAACAAAATTCGAAAACATTTTAAAAGATAGCAAAATTATATTCACGAGCTTAGGAAATCTGTACCCAATATCACGTACCGCTCTCTAGTAGATTACTAAAGAAAAGTAGCATCAAAGAGTGACCCTTCTTATCTTATTTATGTTCAGTACTTCAACGACCAGACACGTGTGCTTGAAGCTTTAGTTGGATAGCACATATACCTAAATAATTTGTGAATTTTCCGTGCTAGATTCGAAATGTAGAGACGAGAAATTGTTTGGATACAATGGGTAGAAAATCTGGTGAAAATTTGGGGATGACCTATTGCCATAATATGGGCGGCAATCAAGTGTTTGCCTACACGAAACGACAACAAATAATGAATGATGATAATTGTCTGGACGCTAGCAACAAAAATGGTCCGGTAAAACTTGTTAGATGTCATGGTATGGGTGGCAACCAAGCGTGGGTATATGATGAAGTCGTAAGTAAAAAAAAATCTGGATGGTTATTAATGTAAAATGAAATTTAATATTATGAAAATTAGCGGTTAACAACATTACAAATTTGGCTTTTAGGATAAAACAATTAAGCACGTAAATACAGGTAGTTGCCTCCAAAAGCCCGACAATAGTGACGTGAACCTGCCGTTGCTGAGACCATGCAATTATGAAGAGGGACAACAGTGGATCATGGAAAGTGACTTCAAGTGGCAAGCGAAACGGCATCCAGAAAACAGATAGAATCAATTTACCCATTGAAACGTAAAATTGTGATAAAAGAGTTGTAAAAGAATCTGTTGAGTTAGAGTTCCTCTAAAATAGAGACAACGATAGATATACCTCATTCTCGCCTATGTTGCGCCTATTGGAGATTTTATCGCTGATGGTTCTGTCGTCGGAATTTCGTTGAATATTCAATTGTTCTATTAAACTATTGTGTTGTAATTGTGATTATCTCAATAATTAGAGTTAATATATCGCCTTAGAATCAGAGACAAACAAAACTTAAACGGTCATATTATTCAGGACATATTATTCATATCTTGCAGGTTGTACTAAGAATTTGGTTTCCATTTTTTTCCCAGTCCAAACACGGAATTTTATGTTAGTTTGTTGTTATTCCCAAAAAATATTCTCCCATTGTTATGAGGGAAAAGAATGTTGATTGTCGTCCCAAATTGATAGTAAACCAAATTAGAATTTTGAGCAACATCTATTACTAGAAACCACCGAGACAATCTTTACAAAATCTGGGACTTAGCCTTAAGCTTTTTTTTCAATTTTATAATTTTTGTAAACTAAAAGGAAATAGTACTAAACTAGATATATGCCTCAAAGGTTTTCCCTCGTATATAGGATTTTCATCCATATTATTTTGTAGTACACTGAATACATATCACTAATCTATAATTGGCAGGCGTTTAGAAATTATGCTATGTTCGTCGAAAACATTATTTGACAAACAACAAAAATAACAACTAGCGAGAATGAACTATTTATCAGCCCAAAATAGCAATTTTATTGGTACTTTTTCGATTAAGTTCTTGATAGCTCATAGCGGCAAAATAATATTATGAATGAACTTGTATTTTCTCAGAAGTTTTATTTTTGTAGTTTCATTTCTTATATCCATAAGAAGGTATATACCATTGTCCTTTGCATTTATTGTCAATCTAACCATTCCATTTGTTGACTAAAGACACTCCTGCCTCAGGCACCACTGTAAATATTGTCCAAACAAATTTATTTCTACTAAGCTATTAATCGAGGTGACGAAACTTTGGATAAAAAAAAAAGATTGTATCTGACTGCCATTGTAAATATGTGAGAGAATATTAACTATTAAATTAGTACTCCCATTTTTATTTATTTTCTAGTGTGATCTGCTGCTATTATGGTTAAGTTTTTGCTAACTTGTATAGAAATCTGTATGATAGAAGAAAGCATATCATAATATTTGACAATATCATAGTCACTTTTTGAAAAACTCTTAATTTGCTCATAGGGTATATCTGCAATTCTTCCTATTTTTAATTAGGTAATGGACTTGTGTAAGTTATTTTGGTTGCTCATTTTGTCTTAAGTTGTAGCAATATATTGATCAAAATTTGTTGTATATAATTGCCGAATTTAGTGTATCTAAAACATATCTGATTATTGAGTTTGTTACCGAAGTTTTCTGAATTGTTCATGTAAGATTTGTTAATTTAGCCTTAATAGTCATCTCTGGGATGTAAAAGTTTTCTGTTACAGACTATCATTTCTCTAATCATTTTTAAAGGCTAGGTGGTGGTGCAATCCAGCTTATTATTCTAAATTAAAAATAACATATTTAATATAGATTTTATTTTATTATTTTTGATTTGACACCCCCTTGATGAATCCTATCCTTTGAACAAAACTTAATTGGCAAGAGTGACTCCATTCGCATGGACACAAACGGATTAATTCGTAGATTATCATTATGAATAATGGATGCTGCAATCGTAGTTTAACAAACTGGCCATACATATTGTGCTAAACCGATTACAAAAGATGCTATCGGTCGGTTAATTTGGGTGGAAGTTTGAGACTTGTCATTGTCTTTTCACCTTTCGAATTTTGCTGAAATAGAATTAGTATGTATGCCACGATAGTTTTCACCAAAAATGTGATTAATGCAAATTTCCCCTAAAAGATAAGATGCCAAATACAAACTAACAGGTTGCCATATAAAAAATTTTCAGGGCCGTCGCTAGGAAGAGCGATTTATTAAAAAGTTCACCATTTTTAAGATTTAGGTGCTCTTTTTCAAGTAATCAATTCAATTTCCAGTATCAAAATCAAATATACGTTCAGAATCTGAGAAGATAAATTAAAATTATACATATGCTAACTTAATTACTTTCACTTTCTTTAATTTCACAGAAATAACAACACAAAATATTCATTTTTCATTTTATTGGAATTTGACATAGTAAACACGTAAATGGCAATAGTTTGGCATCATTTAAAAATTGAGCATAAAGTGGGGATGTTAACATGCGATTACTACAGTGATTTAAAATTTAATTTTAGGTTTCATTTAACAGTGAAGTCTTAATCAACTGAGATCATGTATGCACGTCGGTGTCATTCAGTCTAATGATATAATTATATTGTGTGTAGTATCGACACCAAGACTTAATTTGTTAAAACACCTCAACCATCACAAGATAAGTTGAACAATTATTTAAAATAATCTTTTGCTCATGGTCAATGAAAACCGTTAGTGATATTTTCCAGTAAAAATGCTAATTATATAAAAAAAATTGTTACAATAATTGGTACATGTTTGTATTACGTAAAGAAATATAAAAATTCACTGTTCGGGAGTCGACATGCAGCGCGCTGAAGTGTAGACAAGAGCACAAAAACAAATCAAAATAATTTAAAAGTGGATTTTGTAGGGCGTATCGTATGTAGACGATTTTTACCACAATATTTTCCTGAAATCAAACTTAAAAAGCTGTATCGCTAAGTGTTTTGAAATCATAGGTCTTCAAAAGATACAGACCGATGAAAAAAAAAATGGAAATCTGAAAACCAAAATAAAACAAAAAACTATTGAGAATGTTTCTGTCCACTCGTTCCTTTGTCTACCTTCAACATATTTTCAGCCGGTAAATGCATAGTACAGCCGATATAGAATACAGTATATATTTGTTTAATAATATAGATTATGCGTATGTAACGTTAATGATCACATTTAACAAGTTTATTTTCCCATTAAAACATTTCCGTGACCAAAAATATTTGCAGTAAGATTCGACTAAACAAGAGTGCAATAATACAAAAATAGTCGCTTTGAGCATGATAAACGTGGAATGTGTCCATTGGATTACATGGGAATAAGAACACACATCCAACAATTTGATCTAAATTGTTCTATGATGGATGCAGTAAAAATGCATTGTTTTGTAGCACCTCATCTAACCAACGTTTCTACGCCGCCACTTAAAAAACGTAAAAATCAATATCTATGTACAGAAAAGGTATCTTACAAAAAAAACAAATAAATACAAAAAATCTCGTTAAACAATCTCAATTACTCTAAATATATATATAAAACGAAATTTACTAAAATTTACTAATAACATATACAACTTTTTGATCTCAATACAGGAGTCATAATATAATAAACAAATCAACTTTCAATCAGTCGGTTTTTTCTGAACCATCTTCACCAGACCACTTCTTCACCTATTGCTCCCTAAATGAAATCAAATTCTTAGTCAAAACGATTTATAACGTCATTTTTTTATAAACTAAACTAACATAGCGGACTTGAAAGTATTATTGCCAAATTGACACCATGTAAATCAATCACAATGTTTTTGTTTTGTTATTTTGTCTATGGCCAAGCAAATAGTGATATTTTCACATAGCAGGCGTCTGTCATGATGACAACTTATAGAATTCCAGAACTTAAAGATCTGATTTTCTTTAAGTTGATATCCTTTTGTTAATAATTTTTTATTTATGTTCAAATTCTACGCTACCCAAAGATAGGAAAGGGAAATTTTAACATACGTATCTAGCATCCCAATAACTAATTTGTAAACTAAAAATATAGAAACAAAGCAAATGTTAATTTGACAATTCAAGATAATAAGAACAATTTAAAAAAAAAAGTTAAGTGTTGAACAATCTTTATATACTTCCATATCTCTTAACAATACACAAACATTTCTAGACGGCTTTATAAATAAAAATGTCAAAAATACGTACCCCGCTGTCCCTGGATAATAGTAAGGTGGCGGCCGTTCGTATTCGGTGGTGGCCCTTTGATATTGTGGGGGTCCCCCGTTTGGAAATTCTTCCCAATGCCTAAGCAAACACGTTTTTGCACAAATTAACATTAAGCGATTTTATAGCAAACATACAAATAGCTGCCAAGCTACTACATCCACTAATAAAAAAAATAAAATTTGAAATGATTTATTTGAGAATACAATTTAATAGAAATATTATATATAGATTTAAAATAAATAATCTAAAACTTGGTTGAAGTTATGTAATCACTGGAATTTTTGAAAGGCCCACTATTCCTGTAAAAAAGAAGCTACTTGCCTTATTTTGCATATAGTTAATTAAGTGAAATTAAAATGGAATTTAATGATTTTGGCAGCTGTAGATCTATTACCAACAACGCAAATGGAAAAACCTGAATTGATACTAAAGACTATACCCGGGTTTCAAAATTCGATAAGCGATAAAAAAAAGCGTAAGGTAAAATGGGATCGAGATCCATATCCGAGACCATATTCAATTTAAGCATTGAAGTTATATTTGGCACTTCCGGGAAGTATGGTGAAAAAACTCAAATTAACAGTTTAGATCTTAGATTTTTTTTGTAGGTTATTTGCGAAAGTTAGTAATATCTACAAATTTATTTCCATGGATTTATTTATATACGAGGTGTCTTTAAAAAAAACGTGAATTTTAAGTTTTATCAATTATTTATTTATTACTTTTTACAAAACTTCTGGATTCCTGGATGCCAGTTTTAGTTAAGCTCTGAAGAAGCCAACAGAATGATTGACGAAACGTCAGCAAGTTCGACTCAGAAAAAACCGACGTAGGAGGAATCCAGAAGTTTTGTAAAAAGTATTACAGTAACCTGTGGAAATTTCTTTGAAAAATTATTTATTTCCAAACCTCCTTCCTTTCATGGGTTTCTTGAGTTTTGGGAACAGGAAAAAGTCGCAGGGGGCCATATCCGGTGAACATGGTGGCTGAGGCATGATTCTAGTTTTGTTTTTGTCCGAAAAGTTGGACACAAGCAACGATGAGTGAGCAGGTGCATTATCGTGATGCAAAATCCATGAATTGTTTTCCCACAATCCCGGACATTTTTTTCGTATTGCTTCTCCCAAACGGCGAATAACTTTAAGATAATACCCTTTATTGATTGTACGACCTTATGGTAAAAACTCTTCATGTACTAGGCCACTTTAATCAATGAAAACTGTAAGCAAAACCTTGACCTTTAATCGAACTCGACGTGCTTTTTTCTTGGCGATTCTGGCTTCTTCCATTGGGACGACTGGGCTTTGGTTTTAACGTCATAAACATATACCCATGATTCATCATCAGTTATGACCTTTTTGAGCATATCAGGAACACCACTGACGTCGTTTAACAGCTCTTTACCAATGCTCCTTCGATGGTCCTTTCGTTCAAAATTAACAAATTTTGCTGCTACACTTTTCATGCCCAAAACTTCGGAAAAAAATTGGCACGAGCCAATAGAAATGCCGAGGTCTTCAGCTACTTCTCTAATAGTGACTGGACGATTTTTCAACACCAATTGTTTCACTTCTTCAACGTTTTCATCAGTTATTGACGTGCTGGGGCGTCCAGAGCGAGGTTCGTCTTCTCGGCCATTTCGGAACAACTTGTACCACTTATAAACATTTTTTTTACTCAAAGTAGATTAACCATATGCCGTTGTCAACATTTCAAGTGTTTTGCAGCACTGTTGCGCATTTTTTACACAAAATTTTAAGCAAAATTCTTTGTTCCATTTTTTTATGACAGCAGAAAATCGCCGAGCACACTAAACACTTCTAACGCTTCTGTCTCACAAAAAAAAGTAAACGTGTAAACTGACTGAAACTGTGAACATGTGAAATGTGTACCAACATTAAAAAATATATATATCGAAGATCGAATGTGCGTAGCCCGCCTAATTACAAAAGTCACCTTACTTTTCGAACAGACCTCGTATTTAATATTATTTCATTTTTAGTTCCAAATCATAAATTTTAAAGGAAAGTCTTCGAAACGCAGCTCGCTGGGCAGTCAGTCAAAAGTGGAAACCGTAAGGCATGAAAATATCAATAATGAACTGATATGAACATTATATAAATTCTTAGTAAATAGTAGTGTGTAGGCATTTATTAATATTGTTATTTTGAATTAAATATAATTTAAGCTCTGTTCATTTTTATGCAGAGTAACTTGTTTAATTTCACCGTCGCGCTTGACGAACTCAAACGATTTTGTTCCATATTAAAACGCAACAGTATGTTGAACGCTTTTCCAAAGACCATGTACTCCAAGACATGAGAGTAATTAGTCAATCTATAAGACTTTGCAATTCTCGTTAGATCTAACAAGCCTGAAGATTTTTAGATCATCAAGCTACAAACGGTAAAATCAGATTTTTCCCGAAAATCAGCAAAAACCATTTAGATAGAGTACATAAATATTTTTGGTTCTGATTTCATCATATCTGTACTATTTTAAATGAAATAAAATAACACTGAGTGAAACTTCTTTATCTTTTTGCATTTATCAATTTATCAGTACCTCATACTCACTTTGGTGCCATATCGGCATATCTCCCATCTGGCGGATGCGAAGCTGCCGTGTACTCTCTGGCAACCACTTCCCCGCCCGCGCTAGGTGGTCTATCATCGTGTCTTTTCGATTTCTTGTTCTTCTTCTTATTTCTCTTGCCGCCACGACTGCAAAACAACAAGCATCAAGAAAAATTAAATTGTAGATGGGGTCTTCTAATCGATAAAGTAAAAACGTGCTATTGCAATTTCTGCATGTTATGTACTAAACTATACCATTGTCTAAAACTGATCTTACTGCCTTTGAAAATGTTTCTAGTGCTGACTAAAATCGTTTTATGAGAAAAAAAAGTGTTTCCATGCATGGCATAAAAAGAATGTATCAAAGCACAAACTGCTGTTATATTGTACCTAGTGATTCATTGATGGTGGCGAGTTGTCATAGTTACTATCTTGTGAACTTGGTAGTGGTTCTCAAACAATCTATCTCAATACAGGAACTTTAGGAAAGGCAGCATATTAAATATTACACATACAAACCACCTGAACTACAGTTATTAAAATTGGAGTAGTAAATTGTGGAGGTGTGAAAATCTGTTTGGAATCCATCTAAGTGTAAGTGTAGAGGTATTTAAAGGTATAGCCAGAATACAATGTCCTTTCCAAAATTCCACAAGTAAATTGAGACAAAAAAAAATAATTTAAACAAATTGTAAAAGACATTACTGAAATATTGATGAAATATATAAATAATGAAAGTTAGTCATTATTTTCAAGAAACCACTAAAGCAATTAGAAATAATAGATAAAACTAGAACATAGGAACTTGGTGCCTAGGTATTTTCAGAAAATGCAACTTGACTGTTCTAATTGCACAATTATATTAGTACAGGCTAATAACTATCGCAAAATACTTTAATAAATTTAAGGGAAATATTGCCTAAAACTCCCACACATCCTCCAACACAATCATTCATTTGATACTTAAATAAAAACCCAGCCAGCGGATTAGTGCAACTTTGGTTATGCTCAACTATAGCGAAATCAAACTTGTAACTTAGCTGACTTGGCTTGGGGTTTTAAACCGATACCGGTCATTACAGAGAGGATAGAATATTTTAAAAATATTTGCAGAAGAAATCTCTTGTGGTCGCTTTTTGTGAGAAGAATTTTTCGCAAAATTTATTATATATATCTACCTCGCAGCCGCCAATGAATCGCACAGTACAATAATAAAATAAATATATACATTTTTTTCGGTTGATGTTATCTGCTACATTTTTGGTTTGTATGAAAATAATCAGGAAAACCCAACAACCGGACAAGAAAAAAAGCACATTTAAACCCTTTCACAAAACAGTATTTAGATTGTTATAACCGGTCAACATTTTATTCCCAGAAAACGGAACTAAGAACAACTTTTAAGCATTACGAAACAGAGAAGCCCAAACACAAACCCAAATGCGAAGACTTACCTGTTCAAGGGAATACTATCCCCGCGATCCGCATACGCGTCATACAAATATTCGCTGCAAAATAACACAAATAACAACGCAATTTTACGAGAAAAATCAACGCCACTGGTATATTAAGACATGCACTCATCACGTTACCAATGTATATATATGCACATTGTCGAAGGTAATAACATACGTACGTCTCCACATATTGACCGTAGGGCTTGTATTTCTGATAAAGGCTGGCCAATTTTACGCAAATCACAATGGTGAAAACGTACAACACTAAACTCCAGAAGAGGCTGAACCAAAAACCATTCTGCAAAGTTATATTTTATAAAAGTTACATTACACAAAACACGAACACAGAGGTGTGTTATGCAGTTTAATACGAGAAAAAGAAGTTTAGTGAATGCCTCAAATATTGCGTTTTTCACTATTTCCAAAATTTTAAAGAGACTAAAAAATTCAAAAACTCTTGAAACTTTTACACCCATTTCTTATTCTGAGCTAAGGAAATTCTATATTTAGATCATTATTAGTATATCTTACCCAAGGCAGTAATAGTTTATCACATGTTGATATTAGTGTAGCATTTATAACAACATTGAGTGGACCACATTCACCAATTCTGTTATTCACTTGGTCCGCTATTCTGTATATGTAGCTGTTGACTTGTTTTATCACTATTTCTGTAAATTCTTTGGCAATCTAGAAGCATATAACCTATTTAGCGATTTCTTACGATAGGTTTCCAAAAAACTTTCAAGCTTTGTTGTTTGTATGTTTATTTGTTTTTTTTATTTTTTTTTTCGTATGATAAAACATTCCTCAATTCAATTTACAAATCTTTTGGATTGCTCCTGCGTTGGTTTAAAAATCAAACTTGCTTAAGTTTAACTTCTTCAAAACTTAACCGAAACCCGTCCGCAATATACTCTTTACTGTTTGAGGGGAGCGGAGCTAAAGGAGAGGCATGGACATTACCTCGGATGACTGATCCCCTTATTGGTGAAAGGTAAAGACCTGAGTAGGGGTTAAGAGTGTTTAGTTCCTCATAAATATCTATAGATTCTCTGATTTTTCGTTGAAAGAACAATTGATTACATGCAAAAATTTTAGTTTTATCAAATAAGACTTGATGTCTGCTTTTTTGATTGTGGTCGGCCACTACTGATTTTATTTGTTGTAGTCTTAAGGGTCTTCCAAATTCTTTAAGCCTAGTTGATATGTTTCGTCCGGTCTCTCCGGTCTTTGACGGATTGGAGATGAGAGATTTTTGGACAAGTGATGTTTTGAATGTAAGAAGGACTACAGTGGCGAGTGAGAGGTTGCTTTTGTACTCATTGTTTTTCGAAGGTGGTGGTGAAGTGTTTTTTGTGCTGGAACACTTAATATATCTAATGTGAAAATTATTAGAGAGAACAGATGTAAGGTATTCTAATTCTGGGTTCAGTGACATAAAAGTTGATAACCCATGATTTTTGAGCCGATAATCCATTAAGACATTGGTCAGTGTTTGTAATAATTCTGTAAAAAGAATGGCCGAATGAACACAATGTTAGGTGTGATTTGCTATTGCTAAAATTCTTAAGAATGATTATTGTTAAGTATTCATTTAACGTGAAATGAAACTCGACCACGACAATGCAACCGTTTACTGACGACATCGCCCTAGGAAAACGTACCGCCGCATCACGGTTTACAAAAAAACACCTAAACTAAACTGCGATATAAAAACTCGCATATAGAACAATTGTTAGTTTCTAATTCAATGGTGAACCGTATGCTAGTATGTACAGCAGCGTTTCCACAATTTTCGTTTAAGATGGAAGGTGTTGAGGGCTTTCGTCTCCAATAAATATATTCGCGATGACTGTGAAATTTGACTGTTACAATAAAAACATGTTTCAGACAACCATTTCTCAATTAAGATAAGGTTGTGCTCCAAATTCTCAAATATGTCCTGAATCATGTTGAGTTTCAGGAATAGAGGCTTTAGTAAAGAGGAATTCTACATCAAAACTAACCAGAATATTGATTGGATCTAATGTAATGTTTTTTAATTGTTCAATGAAGTGAAAGGATTTTAGTACGAAAGTATCAGTTTTGCTAGAGAATATGTTGTAGAACCAATGGTGCGCACAATAGGTCGAAGGGATAATCCTAGGTTGTGAATCTTAGCGAGACTGTAGATACGAGGAATTTTAGAGTCGTGAGGGGTGATTTTTGAGGGTTTGATTTATAATCAACCGACGCAGGAGGAATCCAGAAGATTTGTAAATAGTATTACAGTAGCATGTGGAAGTTTCTTCCAAAAATGCATCAATTCCTTTAATTTTCTGTGTTCATCTGCATCAAGTATATTATTAAAAATTAGTAAAACGTTCCGGTTTGTCATTTACGTTGAAAATAATTTTAAACTATTCTTAATAGCTTTTATACATTTATCACAATATACCCCAATATTCAATTTTTAAATACACTTTACCTGGCCTAGTTTTGTGGTACCATTATGTTTTAAATACATTTCGGCATCATTAATTTCTGAAATTAAAAGATCGATTGAATCTGCAAAATTACCGTTCCCCATTGTGAGATTATTTTTCAAATCTGTTGAAATATCCTAAAAAAGAAAATAATGTCTTACGACAGTCTCTAGCTGTCTATAAATACGAAATATCAAATTTCACTTACTATAACATCTCTTGCAAGATCTTTCATTGGAACAAGCAATTTTTCATTGTACGTATCTAAATGCAATGCACTAAGCTCCAATTTGTTTTTTATATCGGTGAAAACGGGGTCGCTTAGCTGACTAATTATACTTTGAAGTTTTTCAGACAATATGTCTAAGCTAAAGTTGGTAAAATTATTTTCCAGCTAAAAAAAATATTGTAATTTGAGTCAATTGCCAAGAATTGATATTATCGATCTTACCTCGTCTCTGAATTTTTCTAAATCCACATCAAATTTAAGGTCCTTAAGCCTTTCTAGTTCTTGACGATTCTCACACAAAATACAAAAATCTGGATCTTTTAACAGGTCATCAAACTTTATCTTATCTAAATATTCACTGACATTGAACTCAGTTTTGAGTTTTTCTAAATCAAATACTGAGTGTAGATTTAGCGTTTGATACAAACTTTTGTTCTGGTAGCAATTACTTAGTATATTACTAAATTTGATGTCATTTATTTCAAGTTGGTCACTCAAAGATAACAAATCATCTATAACTTTGATTATCCTCAGGTCTTGAGGATCGGGATTTCGTAATGGAGTGCAAATAGCCCGGTCTGAAGTTGCTCCCAACAGAAACATGGCAAGTGTTAGAATTATTAATACACAGCCGAAGAAAAACATAATCATGACAGCACTAAAAATAAAAAATACACACATGCGTACCACAACCCTAGTATAGTCATACCAGACCAAAAACTGGCTTCCTGCCCCTTTATTGCAGCAGTTATCACTGTAGCCATCAGGCCTTTTACCACAAATTCCACAAATAAGACCGAGAGCTATGCATAAAGTAACTAAGAGAAGAATGCAGCTAATTCCTAGCCCACAATAATAACCATATTGTCCGTATTGACTAATAAAATCATCTGCAGTATCGATTGAAGAATACGCGTTATCTTTAATTTCCCTTTTGATGTCATCCAACTTTGTGAACATTGAATTTAATTGGTCAGTAATTGTCTTATCTGAAAATGTAATACAAAAATAGATTTTACATTGGACTTACTACTGAGCTACAAATACTACATCTACTGAAGAGTTTATTGCAGTTAACAAAGAAGTGGTCAACCAAACCAAACCATAGTTAAAAAGGTCTTCACACTCACTTGCATTATTTATTTGTGTTCGGGCCTCGTTTAATCCAATGTTTAACTTACTCTCTATTGTATCTCTTATATCCTTTAGCTTACTTAATCCATCGTTTGCAGCCTTTACAACGGCACTAGTATCAAAATCTTTTAAAATTTCAATTTGTTCGCTAACATCGGGAAGCTGAAATGTAAAATAGGTCAATTGCAATGATATTTTTATAACTGATCATTTCTGTGCAATACATCTATTTCATTATAACTACTACACTAACAAGTTCATACAACACTTCGGTACAATTTTAAATATAATAACTTGACTCACCCTCGGAAAATATCTATCAACGTACTGCATGTAAAATGAATAACCAACTTTTTTTATTAAGTAATTGTTTTATTTGTGCATTACCTTATTGAAGTCAATGTTAGTTTCTAATCTGCTTATTTTATCGTTCAGGTCTTCACATTCTTTGATAATGTTCAACTCAACACACTCCTTTAAGGTAATTAAGAGATCTCCTTTCACTTTTCTTAGAGCTGAAAAATATAAGTTGTCTTCAGAAACATAGCAACAATAAATACAACATCATAATTCCAATCAAGTAAGATCTATATCTTACCATCATTTAATTGTGAAGCATACACTCTAAGCCTATTTGAATTGTTTCTCAAACTGTATAATGTGTTCTCTATTGTAGGTAGGTTATTCACAAACTCTGCTAATTTTAACATTCCAGTTGCGTTGGAATATACTTCCAGTTGATCCATGATTGTGGATGTACTGCCTATAAGAGAACAAGCCATTCAAATTTGCCAGCAGCAATTCATTTTAAATGCAAGCATTCAAAAAGAAACTTTAATGTACAAAGTACTAGTGAATAGTTCAAAACAAGTTCTAGAAAATGTGTTACATTAAATTTTCAAAATTTTTGTAAATCATATTAAGAAGGTACTGTATAGGGTGGTCCGCAGATAAAAAAAGGAAAAAAGGTTCGTAAAATACTTCACCACGAAGCTACTTATTTTTTCCTATTTTTGAAAAACCTATTCTAAGTTTTATTGTCAAGCTTGATAGGTAATATAACAAATAGCTACTAGCGATCATGCTGATAATAAAGCAACTTATGTAGCAACTATGAAAAATTTTTAGAGAAGAACCAAATTGCGTGTTTAACCAATGCGGTTGAGGAATTTAACAAGCAATATGACTGCTGACAGATCATCGATAAGTTTGGATGTGGCATTTTTATGGCAGTATTTTCTCAAAATATGTCGAATCCAAATCCACCTGAGGCGCATACATTTTTACCGTAGTATGGGCACAATATTATGTAATAACGATATGATAATAATTATAATTAAATTAATAAAATGAATTGTTATGGAAATAAAAGTGAATTTAAATAGCATGAATTAACTTAATTTAATTTGTAAACCTCAAGTATTGGGAGCATATGTACACCAAAAATTTTGTTTCTCAAAAAGATTAGTTTTTGAGAAAAGGCTGAAGACGCCATTCTTGTTTAGAATCTAAATGTATTAACAAAATTGCGACAATCCATTGGCATACCACTTTCTTTTATTATTTAATTCAGATAAAACTGTCTCACGAACGCCACTGCCTAAACAAAAACAAGTTTATGCTATAAATTTGTTTTCAAGTGGCAATAATACCTACAAAGTTTGAAAGCAAAATATATAAGTTCTTTTTTTAATAAGAAAAGACGATTTTTTTGCATCACAACGAAGTATTTTTGGACTAATTTTTATCTGTTGAATATGCTGCTGAAATCCCTCCATTATAATTCGGTCCACCCTGCATAGACACTATAAATATTATATGAGGGTTTTATGTCAGTTTTTATGAATTTTAAACTTCTATTGTTACGCAATCTTTATTGAACTTAGTTTGCTCCTTAGATGACATTTAAACTGTTACTTATTTTGGTTGCAATAAAATTTTGATTTTAGTTTAGTTTTACGGTAGGTTTATATAAAAAAACAATAACCGTAGCCCAATCTCTTAATTTAATTGTAAATTGGAAACGCAAGGGTGCAAGTGAGTCACTAGTATGCCCATCCATGTTAAGGTGAAGAAGCTCTTTCAGCTGTCGAACATACGAGGTGTGTTCAAAAAGTAAGGCGACTTTTGTAATTGGGCGGGCTACGCACATTCGATCCTCGATATTTTTTTTTGTTATGCTGGTACACATGTCCCTAACATGTGTTCAAAGTGTCAACCAATTTGCACGTTTACTTTTTTCTTATGAGACAGAAGCGCTAGATGTGTTTTGGTTAATGCACGGCGATTTTCTGATGTAAAAAAATGAAATAAAAAACTTGCATAAAATAAAAAATAGAAAACACTTGAAATGTTGACAACGACATGTGGTGAAACTACTTTGAGCAAAAAAAAATTATAAGCGGTGCAAGCTGTGCAAGAATAACTGATGAAAGTGTTGAAGAAGTAAAATAAATGGTGTTGAAAAATCGTGGCTTAAGATGTCGGCATCTCTATTGGCTCGTGCCATGCAAATCGTGTCCGTTTTTGACATGAAACACGTAGCAGCAAAATTTGTTCCGAAACTTGTTAATTTTGAACAAAAGGACCGTAGAAGGAGCATCGCTGAAGAGCTGTTAAACGACGTCAATGATATTCTTGATATGCTCAAAAAGGTCATAATTGGTGACGATTCATGGGTATATGGTTATGACGTCGAAACCAAAGCCCAGTCGTCCCAATAGAAGAACCCAGAATGGCCATGGTCGAAAAATGCACGATTGCGAAGGAAATCAAGAGTTCTTACCACAAGGTCGTACAGTCAATAAAGAGTATTACCTCGAAGTTATGCGCCGTGTGCGAGAGACAATACGAAAAAACGTCCGGAATTGTGGGAAAACAATTCATGCATTTTGCATCACCATAATGCACCTACTCGCTCATCGTTGTTTGTGTCTAACTTTATGGCCAAAAACATAACCACAAGGAGGTTTGGAACGATTGAGGAGATAAAGAAAAAATAGCTTGGAAGAACCAAAAACTGCTTCGAGAATTGGAAAAAAAGGTGAAACAAGTGTATTATACCTGGGAGGGATTAATTTGAAAGGAACAACATTAATATTGATAAATAAATAAAGACCTTTTGTTAAAACTTAAAAGTCACCTTATTTTTTGGACACACATCGTAGACTTAAAAGAACGCAATATTCAGGAAAGCCCTGGGATAGAAACATTTAAATGCCAATTAATAATATGAAAATATCAAAATCATAATACACATTATAATTAATAGTATAAGCAAATTGTTAACTTATTTTTAAATACCAATGCTGTTCATTTATAGTTGATAATAAATTGGTAATTCTTACTTTAAAATGGGGAATAGTTAGCTGTTATATTTTATAAACCCACCATACATAATTGAAGTCAGAAGTTAACTTACCATCCATTGTATTAGTAAATACATTCACAAATTCGATATAGTTGTTAACAAGTAGATGAGAGGTTTCATTTTGCGTTTGATTCAAAAATGTACTGGTGTCTTTCACGCTGTTCCTCATGTTGTTGGGAAAGGACCTGACTCCATCCTGCAACTGCTGGTTACTTCCAAACGCGCAAACCACACAGAAACTAAATAAAATATTATACCCTCAAATTAAAATCAACCGCGTAACATCAAACTTACAGCAAACCGGTACAAAGCGCAATCAAAATTGTTCCTTGGATAATTTTGGCACAGAGATCTCGTTTTTTGTCGGCAGGTTTGGAACGAGCACCACAGTTTCCGCAACAACGACAGAAGCAAAAGCATATCCCGCACAAAGGGAAAAATGCCAAAAATACTAAAAGCACTACGATAATCGTCAACGGTCGCCAATAGTAACGTAGAGCATCCTTATAGTCCGGAATGTTTACATTTAGATTGCGGTCATTCACTGTCAGGAGACCTTTAAAAAACAATCCTTGCATCAGAATCCTAGGGGATAACATATCAACTGCCACAACAAATTGTAGGATAGGGATTTCAAGTGTACAAGTGTACGAGTACAAAATATTCCGCAAGCCTAGCAAATGTTTTTGTTTTTACTCTTTTATTCGTTCTTTTTTAATTTATCAAATGTGCATTTCCAAGAGGTGATCTTTGTTATGGAAGCCATCATTTTTTTAAGGTTATTGAATACCATTAAATAATGGCTAATAAGCTTAATTTAAAACTAAATACGCTAAAATTGCAAAATATAAATTAAAAAAAAAACGGTTCACAGCAAAAGTTGACAGTGAAATGACGAAAACTATTATCATCTGGAGGTAGAATGTGACTTTTTTTTTCACAAACAATTCCAAATTAATATCCACTTTAGTTTTATGGTATGGATTTTTTTATTATAGTATTTTCAAGCAACAGAAAAACAAACATTAGAAAAACACATAGTTATAGTCATCCCAGTTAACCTATCACAATAAAACTTTCAATATCAAATAATGCTAGAGAGTTATAAATCATTAATGAACTGCAAAACTTAGTGGGCTTAGCCCTATTCCATAGGCATAGTGATTGTCACGGCTTCCGAGAATGACAAGGAGAGGGACAGGTAGTTACTTTCCAGCAGTTGTTGGCAAAGTTCTTAAAAATCGCAAATTGTGAATCTTATTTCTTCTGAGTCTGTTATAGTCATGGATAATGCCAGGTAGCACTTAAGAAAATCTGGAAAAATCATACATGGGCTTACTTTAAATGACAATATTTTGCCTTCTGTCACATAATTGTGAATTGAACTCTATAAAATCGATACTCGCGATAGTAAAAGAGTTGTCAGCAAGAAATAGAAAGAGTGGATTGTGAAAAACGGAATAAGTGATTGAAATAAAAGAAAGAATGTGAGAAGCTGGTAGAATACTAGAACACACTGTAGAGCCACTTATTATTTCTCTGCACTCCACTGTAGTTCATCTTACTACTTGAAACATGACGACTAAAATTTACAAATGAAGTTGTATTGTAAATAGTAGATTTTTTAAAACAATAATATTTGTGATATTATACCCTGTTACATATCTGTAGTAATGCCGCTGTCACATTACTTTCACTCACCAAACTGGCCTTTCTACTGCAGGCCAAATTAGCGTGACTTTTATTTTAGAAACGACTGCCTGAACTTTACCATATAATTTTTAACTTGTCCACTCTGTTTAATTAGCCCTCAAATTGACATTTTACCTCTCTCGCATTAAGAAACATGCTATAAGTACTAAATTCAGTATGTAAATGAGATGATTTCAAAAATTAATTTTAAAAAATATGAATCAAAAAAAGAATGTAAGGGAATGCACAATAACTATTTTACATACACATACTTCAAAATAGTGCATTTTTATAGAGAGCAAATGAATGCTAATAATAGAAACTTGACATTATAAAGTAGGAAATCCACAAACCACACAATAACTCCGTGAATTGCGCGCTTCCGGGGTTTTTCAAATAAATTACCTTCCATGAAAAAATCCGTCGGCAAAACCAGATCCATAAACATGGTAGTCAAGTTATACAGCCCCGCCATGCCTTTAGCACTAAATTGCACATTGCTGACATATTGTGCAGGTAAATTGTAATCCGTATAATTGACAGTGCTCGACAAGTTTAACACTGCTTCATCCAAGTTTTCCGTAATTTTGCTGATTTTCTTTGCAAAGTTGCTGCCTCCATCAGATATCTCCACAGCCACAAAAAGAAAAACGCACGTGAGCAAGAAATTGAACGCGTTAATTTTATTCCTAGATTCCATTTTCGTCGCAAAACAGAAACTAATCTGTTTGATTTTTGTTCATTTCACTTATTGATCAGATAAGATTAGACTATTTCCAAACGAATGTTTCATGTGGCGGTAACTTTTTGAGCATTTTTTTGTTCTTTAATATTTGAGCCAATTTAATCTGAAAGCAGAACAAATGATTGTTTGTTATATCCAAAATCATTTGACAATACATTTTTAATATATGATATTTCAATAATATTTTTAAATACTTTAGAACACTCTAGGTTAAGCCGTTTTTCGAGTTCTACATTAAAACTCCGAGAGTTCTACCTCAAACACCCAAATTGACTCACCGCACCTATCCTAAAATATATTTACATTGAAACAAGCTTTCTACACATGAACAAAATTTTAATGGGTATAAAAGATCGAATGAAAATTTAAACTAAATAAATAAACAGCAATCATGCAACAGTGGAGTTCAAGATAATTTTGTACACTATAAAAATGATTCATACAGTGATGCAAAGATAATTTTTATTTTACTCATTTTTATCTAATCTAACGGGCATTTTTAAACCACAGTCAGATAAACTAACTTGATTGAAATATTGCGACTCAAAAAAGCACCGACTAAAGGCGACAAAATTCTTAAATTTGAAAAAAATCCTGCTTGCAACTAGGGTTAACTCTCAAGTTCCCTAAATGAACCCCTAATTTGCAACTCTTCCCTAATGTATAATATAGAATTCTCATAAACGGAGCTACTAAACTAATCTACTATTAAAACAACGGGAATAGATGCAGCTCTAATTATTGTTGTAAAAAAAAAGGCTGACTTAAATAGCTACAATAATTGACTGGTATTAAATACAAATTTAATCTCCTACTAGTTTCAACAATTATGAAATAAGACATTTATGTATTCCATACCCTCCGCCGTACCACATTGTTTTAAGTGATTTTAATTAGCAATTGCGGAGATAATGAATGCTTTGCGTACAGCTATTTTAAAAAGCTTCTATTTATATATTTCTTGTTTACAATTCGCGACACACAAAAATCAATAATTGGCGGGCCGTTAAATAAATATAACGGAACTGCAGATTGGCAATAACAGTATTAATCCTAGTAGAAAACACCAATGCTATGGTAAACAAGATACAAATAACAAAAAATGCAACACAAGTTTACTACTCAACAGTGTCCTTATATATATCGGAACTAGGAAATTAGTTATTCTTTTGTTTATAAATTTATTGTAACTGTTTTTATTGAGGCACAAAACAGTTACAAATACCTGGTATTTTCTTCAATTAAGTAGATCAACCAAGACGTTAACGCAGAATGTCGATCGATCCGATTTTTTGCCACAAAATTTCTCGCACAGTTTTCCTATTTGTCGATCCCAATGACCCCGTAATTTTCGTGTCAAAAAATGTAACTTTTCCAAACTGCAACGGGAACAAACCATGAGACCAATAACAGGCCTCCCACGGCTACTCAACTGTTTGAGTGGCTGATTCGTTCACAATTAGCAAAGCCCAGGAAGTGAAATGTCAGTGTGGTAGCCACTGATTTGAAAAGTTAGGTTGTAAACACAAAGGCTCGCTTCTTTGTGCGATTTACGGCATTGCTTTTTATTTCATACTGAGATTTAACAGCAGTGGTAGTACGTCAAATAAGAATTGCGCTGTTGCACTCCTTTTATTGGAGAAGAATTTCAACATTTGTAAATTAAAATGTCTCAGATGTTAATAACCAACCATCGTAAATTACATTCAACCCCTGGTTGCCTATCTATGGTATACTATACAGTGTGTCCCATCAGTTGTTCGGTGAGTACACTTAAAAGTATATCGAAGTTCAACAACACGCGAGGTGAAGCAAGAATGTATCGTCAAAAGTATATGTACAACTTTATTTTGCAAAAATTTGAAAGAAATAAGCATAGGAAACATTATTTTAAAGGAAATTACATTTCTGCACGATAGTTCTAATGTGTTGATTTCTATAGAAGTGTCAGTTTGCACAGTTAAATGAAGACAGAAAATAAACGCCTCGATCTTAGTGATAGTGAAAGGCGATAATTCTCAGTAGGTGGGTATTTGAGACTCTGCTATAGGACTTATATTTGATATCCCTATGGAGGAATCAATCAGTCAATTACAGTGTTGAACAAACCAATAAATTCTTTTGCAGTTGTTCTTTAAATATCACCGTTAGAGGTGTTGTGGTTCAACTGAACACTACATCCCTAATTATAATATGTAACTGAGCTCTAAGTAAATTACGTTTTCCTAGTAGCGTAAACCTAAATAACGTTTTTGCATGTACTAAGATAGTACTAAATGTTTTGAAAAATATTCTGACGTTTAATTTTTCAAAGAAACTTCCACAGGCCACTGTAATACTATTTACAAAACTTCTGGATTCCTCCTGCGTCGATGGTTGTTGAATCGAACTTGCTGACGTTTCGTCAATCATCCTGTGGGTTTCTTCAGAGCTTGACTATTTAATATGCGTTTTTTTAAACAAAAATTAAGCTACTCGAAAGCCACACTTCTATTTCAAATTTTTATAATTTTAACATATATTATTTTTTAGTTTTGAATTAATAATATTAATGATCAAAACCCATTAAATCATCATCAAATCATCAGGATGATTGGCCAAACGTCGGCAAGTTCAATTCAACAACAACCGATGCAGCAGGAATTCAGAAGATTAGTATTACAAGTAGCCTGTCAAACGTTCTTTGAGAAAAAAAATTAAAATCCACTAAATGCATTCAGTCGTGAAACTTGTCATCTTTGTAACTGATGTCTCACTCTTAAGCTGGCAACAACCCACTGCCATTCCATCTGGAAGGACAGGATTCTATTATGGTGCAAAAATGGCAAAATAACTTATTGTTGCATTATAACGAAAATATTTTATTTTAAAAATACTTGCTAACAATGTTTGGTACAAATATATTTACATGTTTTACAGCAACTACTTAAATAGGACATATAAATTATGAAAGGTGATTGTAACTTAAATTGAAGCTTTTATTTGCCAAGGGGACACTTACTTTTTGTTTCTGAAAAACAATCATAACTAAAGCATAGCAAGGGACACAAGAAAAGCAGTATTTTTATCAACACAAATTAATAACAGATTAGGTATAGAACATTAAAAAAATCCCATGGTTTTATCAAAGGCTCCGTAAAAAAATAAATACTATATTTTTAACAAAAACAAAAAAAACAGCGATGGCATTATTGAACCACAGCCAAATGTATAAGAAATATATAAAAAACACATTTTCTTTATTTTTTCCAAGCATTA